TGCATCTTGTTCTATCCGTTTTTGCCATTTATTTTGTTTGTACACATAAGCTAATCGGAATCGAAGCATCTAGGTCAAGTTGACTTGCGATATTGGTACTTATAGTAGAAGAATTTCACAAGACACAAATGCCTGACTCATGAACTTACTTTTTTTTCTTTGGAAAATAGGAAATGGAACTTTTGTTCTGTTGTTATGAACCGTACGTATTTAATTAATTCTTGTATGCAGGTATAAATTATTTCGGTTTGAATGCAACTTTCTGTCGGCATTCTTGATGGTTTTTAGGTATATTAGCCATGTAATTCATCTATTTTGTATCAAAGCGTGTGCATAATACAATGCGACTATTTTGTATGCATATAATTTACTCTACGCTATTCCACTTTCAATAATAGAAAAAATAGTTCTATAGTTTTCCTTTTGCTCGCTCTGCTTTAGATTCAATTATAACGTCATTATGAACGGTGCCTATTAAAGGATCAAGCGTATATAACGTCATTAATTTCCTTGCAGAATTTCTATACGTTTTCTGGGTCAACTAATAAACCATTTTTCATTACTTTCTCCATACCAACCTAAATTAAATCTTCGATGTAAACAACATTGTCGATTTAAATTTACCGATGAATTGCATAACAGTTTATTTGTAATATTAGATGTTATAAAAAACAATTGCACTAAAAAAATTAACTACTAACATTCCACTAAAATTTCTCAACAATTAAAATCGAAATGAAAATGAAATTTGATTAAACATCCTCGGCATACAAACTCGAATTAAACACAAAACAAATACATGTTCTTCATATGGAAATTAGTAATTCTATTTAAAAACCGCGTCTATTGTTGTGCAAACGGTTCCCACAAAAAGGAAGAGTAAAATGCTCGGAATCTATTTCCCATAATTAAGTTTCGTTAAAATACCAGCGACTTGACCTCCTGTTGAAATCCGTTTTCGAAAACGTGTTATTATCGCGGGGATTTTCGTTCCGTTAAAAACTTTTAAATGTACGATTTCGTTACTCATTAAGACCGATTTAAACCAATAAGACGTAAAAAACCGATTTCATCTCCTTGTTTTGGTCGTTATACCGAGTTTATACGACACTTGTCATCTGGCCGGCAACTAATTACACATTTACGACCCCAGCAAATATTCTTGAAGCACCAACAACTTGTTAAATAATAGGTACTAACTTGCACACTTACCTACATTTCTGAATTGCTTAAATTTGGATAAGTTTATTGTCATAGGACGACTCAAATTGCCGGTTTAACTTTCCAAAAATGGATTTAGTTCAGTCCAAACAAACGGAAATTTGTACCTGCTAAATAATTCCCTGCAGAGGAAACCTAATAATAATTTCAGTTTTGTTCTGCTTCGGTCGATTTATATACTGTTATATATAACAGTCTCATTTCTAAGTGGGCAAAACAGCGCATTGTCGTCTTATATCAACGTTTCTTTATTGCCGCTAAACACAGTATCATTCTTATTCACTGGTGGCAGTAATCTCGAACGATAAATCTTGCAATTAAATCGATAGTTACTATGGAATGCGTCTCGTATGGAAGCACGAACTACAAGTACGTCTTCGATATGCATTAAAAATGGAAATAAATTTTCTTAACGTGTTTCGCGAAGAAAAGTTGCTATGTAAATAGTAAGTCGACGTTCAAACAATGTTGCAATAGCCGCGCAAAAAATGAAAATAATCGCAACAGTCAAAAGCGATTCCTGTTTAAAGGAGTAAATTGCGCTCACAAATACTTCGCAATGCATCTAACATAAATGTTCCAATAAGTATTTTAAATCCATTAACATAACACCCCGAATTTTCTCGAGGAAACTTGTAAAAAGGACTTTTCATGTACACATTTAATACTTCTTACCTGCCATAATTTAATACTCCGTTGATTTCCCATTCACAAAACGTTCCTGTACATTCGGAATAAATATTTATAAAAATTTTTTGCTTAGTTGGTGCTCGATACGTGTTACTTTGTAAGTCTTTTATCTGATTGCGACGTCCATTATTCTTGCAGTCGTGTGCGCGATTTAAAACACTTTTCTCCTGTCAACTCTGGAATTTTTTATACAGAAAATAAAATGTATGTTTATGCTATTGGCTATCTAGACTAGATTAATTATTGCGTGCGAATTTTATTATGCGTTACCGCTTAAAAGTAATTAAAATGTATCGTGTCGAAGAGGAGATGGATAATGGCGTTTACTCATAATAATTCAATCTTGTGTATCTACTGTGAATTAAATTGTTACTTTTTTTATGCGATTTGTGAAAAAATGAGTGACCAAACCCAGAATTGCACCACATGCAATCGATAGGATAAGAGTTAAAAATTATTAATCCCAGACCCATAACTTTCTCCATAGGCATATTATGTGGGTACATAAAGCAAATAAAAGCGATTAATTAAAGAAAATAACATTTCACAATGACACCTAATCGAAGTTTGAACACGGCCGTAGTTGTTACGTTTAATTGATCAAGTGTTACGGAGATAAATCGTCGGAAAAAACTGGATATTATGTCATTCGAAGCTTGTTTTAAATTCCAGACGCTACTTCAACCAACTATATCGCGAGCATTACCTACAGTGACGCGTGTAAATTGCTCTATTTGTACACACACTCGCCAACAACTCGACCCATGAAAAGTCAATACCACTCCATTAGCTATATATAAAGACAAATTTCCTTTCTCGAATGAATATGTTCTAATGGGTAAATGTATGGGTGCACCCGTGGCGTGAAAGAGATTAACATGTTTTGTACTTACAAGCTTTATATTCCACTGCAATTTATATAACACTTACCGATAACAAAAGCAGTTAATAGTAATCAACTTACTAACTAATGAGGAATGTTTCATAAAAATATTAGGTAGGAAAACAACCTTATAAATTCACCTTTCCAACTGAAATTAAGAGGAAACGAGATTTTGTAATTCTAGGCGCTCCAAGTGGACATAATCATCTAACGATACAGTTTATTTATAGCGCAAGAACGACTGCCTGCTATTAAAGCAGTAAATAAGTAGCCCAACCAGTCACCGGCCAGTACAATAAGTAAACTAATTAATTTAATCTATATAAATACCGGAAGGAAATGTTCCGGCTGGTGTAATAATAGTTGTTGTAAGTACGTGCTCAGTTCGTCTTGTCGTTAAAGTGGCGAGGAAGATGAACTTCTCGTAAACGACACGTCGGTTTTGCGTTGTTAGGAGAACGAATGGGGATTTGAAGCACTTGCCTATGAAGAGATGAAGGTAGTGCACTTGTATTGCAATTATCCCAGATATTTATTTAGATATTGGTTCGAAAAATTAGTTATTGCAGTTACAAAGGAGATCAGTTAGCGGGAGAGCAAGTTATACAAAAATTGCGCTTCGTTTACTTAGTACACAAATTAAATTCCAATCGAATTTGAATTTACACTTTTAACCGTTAATCCATATCTATGGTGAATATGTTAGAAGTAATATGGAGCTAATCAATTATAACTGGTTCTGGTGTTGACATCGACAAACATTTTTATATACTTTACATTTCACCATATTAATATTAGTAATTGATTACTTCATTAGAATAATTTATTACTTTCTCCTCTTATAGTAGTTCTTTTACAAAGGTCAGACGTCTGAATGTTTCAGGTTTATTTGCTATTGCGTGAATAGATTGTATTAGTATCACAATTTGTAGCAAGGTGAAGGCAATGGTATTAGATAATTCCATTTCGTGCCTGAAATTTTAATGATTCCTGCTATGAAAAAAGCTCTATTACAGTGAAAGTTTCAAAATGGATTTGTGCTAGGTAGTATATCCTAGAAAGTGTCACAACGCTCCAGATCATGCGGCATCGACTTTAATTAGTTTAAACAGATTAAGCTAATTATTCAAGTGTATAAATAATTGCGCGATGGATTGAGAATACCCGAGAGTATTTTATTATTAATCGGATTTTCTTTGAAAGCGCTACTGAAAAAAAAACAAATTTCGAAGACAATACGAAAAAATATTCTTTACGAACACGAGAAATTTATCTTCGCGCCTGGAAACGATCTATTTAAAAAATTACATAATGTTCCCACTAAACGAAACGGCCTGTACGTATAGTGCAAATTTTTAAATTCGCTTTATTCGATGTTTTATCAACTTCGTCATCTTCGCAGGGGATTTTTCAGATGGAATAAAAAAAAGAACGAAGCGAATAAACAGGGAGGATCGATCCTCCTCGACCCGAGGCTTATCTAAAAAAGTAGTACCGAGCAAGTTTCGACCAAGAGAAACGATTTCGTCTTCAGATTAAATTGTCGATGCGTTTAATGATTCTAACGATGCATTATTTCTATACGCAGAAACACGATAATTACGGCCATCCTATCGGAATGAAGTGATCGCGTGATATTAACACTTTAGTTGTTATTGGTAAAAAGCACTGGGATTATAATAAACAATATTTCAAGCGTGACATATTCGCGCGTACACGTTAATTTTCTGGAATTTAAATCGGAGTTTACGAACCGAATTCCTCGCCACATCGTAAAGCTGTGCGAGTGCTGATGTTAAAAATTAGATAAACAATACGGTCGATTTCAGTAATTAGTTTTAAAAGTTCGCAATTTATGCTTGAATAAATTAGTAGGTAGCTGAAAAATATATTACCCCGTCTTACGAATACGTTCACATACACAATAAAGTTAGTACTTTATTGGCCATAATTTCCATTGCTGTTTTAATAAAACTTGTGCAACAAGCGGTTACACAAATTTGTAACATTGTAGAAATCCATTTCTACTGATTTAAATGAAATTTCTCGAACAAGAAAAATTAAAAAAAATTGTTGGACATCTGCTATTGCAGAAGTACCTATTTGTATTATAAAAACTATTTATCGATAACAATGTATATTTTTAACCATTATTTACCATAAATTCACTATGTATATAGTCTGCACATTGCTGTATATATTTCAGATCTGGCGATGTATCCTCCTGCTCCGCCTAGCTATACTCGTCTCTATCAGTACCACTGCTATCCGCCGGGGTACTACTCCACACGGTACCTACCAGGTCTGTAACGTGCATGCTTATTGTTATGCATGAAAAACACCTTTATATTACCGTTCGTAATGTAGTCTTGTCGAAAGTAGTTGTTAATAGAACAAAACGCATGAAATCTGGTAAAAGTTAGATTTCGTTTGCATATTGTCAATGTATTAAATTAATTTGTTTGGAAGTTTTATAGCTCGATTTATCTTGGGGAATTATTAATGAATTAAAGAACAAAAGGTTTAGAAGACAGTCTTAATTATTATTGTTGAAGCTTCGTTTAGAGTAGATAAAGAAGTTGGTGTTTAGAGTGTTTTTGAGAAAAAAATTACTGTTGTCTTAAACAATTAAAAGACCTTATGGCTAAGTTGCATAATTGATTGTTGTTGTTAAACTTGTGTCGAGTAACAATAGTTTGACAAAGCTTTATGTAAATGGCCTTATACGTGTAATAATTAGTGTCGTTTAAAGGAAGTTTACTTTCCCAGTTTTAGAGGCATTTGTGAAATTTTGAGATTACCAGCAAAAATTAATTTTTACCAGTTTTATTTATTCAAGTGTTAGTACTTTGAATCAACCGTGTAACAGTCGATTAATAATTACCCACCTGCAAGATACTGGAGTGAATAACAGCTCGCGAGCAATAAAATCGAGCATGCTTGCCTCCGAAGTATTTTATTGTATGTAGTTTACCTATATTATTAATACACAAAACGGTTAGCCGAGTAACCGCGAATGCATAGTAGATCTGTAGATGCTTAAAAAGGTCTCAAATCCGCTATACAAGGAAGCCGTTTGCGTAAAACGCCAGTTAGATTTATAATATCTGGAATTGAGATGAATAGATTAAATCATCATCAACGTGTAATGCAATTTCTCTTAATCAAAACTGTGTTTTCTCGAATAGTTGAAAAGTGTTGTAACGGGCTTCCTGAACCGCGTTCAATCCGAGCAATTAAGGAATTTAGGACGAATCCGCGAATCGTGAAAACTCCAAAGATGGTGCTCATATATGCCCGTTGTCGGTATTGACGCATCGTGACAAAGGCTATTTAACACGGCACTAATTATCAGGAAGATGACCGTTGACCTATTCAGTACGGTACCGTTACGAGTTAACCATATGCAACTATTTCAGAGACAAAACATTACAAATTGTACGTTGCGCATGTCACCATTAAATTACATTCGATGGAAAAATGGTAACCTGTGCATAGCAGGGTCGCAATCCGGAATTTTAAAATTTTCCGGACGATCCCAAGTGCATGATTGATAATTAGAGGAGCGGCCGTACGCACATATTTCAGCTAATAGTACTGCGAAGCATGCATGAAAATCGCAATTTTTTGTTTGCATGGAAATTTATGGTTGACGGGTTCGAAGCAGGGAACTCAAATAACTGCGAATTTTTTTATCAAACTGATTGTATGCATTTGCATAGAACGCGTAGGCGTGTAAGCCTGTTAACATTTTTAGAACCAGGTACTACCTAGTTACAGTTTTTATACACCAATAATTATGTGGAACCACAAAAAGTTCAACGTAAATTAGAGATTTGGTTCGCGTTTTCGTTTGCCTAGAATGATAGTGATATCGCAATTTCACACTTTGCTTGCCTCAAATTGGTGCAATTTGTTTTACTCAAATTTGAATAGTCCCAACTTGTATTATCAACAAATTTCTAATTAATTATACCAGAATCGTTCGAAAATTTTACTTTTACGAATTTAATGTTAAAAATAATACGTTTAGTAAAGCAAGCAAACGTTACACCTAGAATAATAAATGTTTTTGGTCGAAGTATTCAGGTTAATCGTAATTTCGCACTTTTGGTTCACTGACTGTTTAAAATATATGTTTAGTACAATTTTATTTAATTAAATAACTAACCCATAAAGTACCGTTATTATAATTGAGCATTAAATGCCTGATATAGTAATTGACTACTATATGAAACAACTCGTTAAAACTACAAATTAACGGAATCTAATAATCGCACTTGATGGTTCCATTTCTAAAATTCTGGATTTGTATGTACAGGGTGTTTCAAAATGTGGAGGATTTCAATGTAAATAAAAATTATCAGTAAACATAAAATCATACTTTTCTTTGTTATTAAGGAAAACTTAAGAATTGGAATTATGGTGATTTAAATGAGAATTAATCATGCAAGAAAATTTGTTTTGTAAAGTACCTACGCAACTGGAACACTGGGGAAAACAGTATTATCAGGAAACCATGTATTAAAAATAGTCGTATTGATCTACCTAATTTTAAACAGGTATTTACGATGCCTCGAATCCGGTAGTTCCAGAATAATTAAATTAATTGATTTAATTGTCAATTACAGCCGCATTTTATAGTGCGTCATTAAAATCGCCTTAAAATGGAAGAAACGCGTCTTTAGTTCAATCATCGGGCCAGTTTAAGGCAATTCAACGAGGTTTATTATTTTTTTTGCTCTGAAAATAGGAAGTTATTTTCTAACGACTTTAATTGTTTACTAATCGGTAGAAAAAAAGAAAGAGCGCGGCAAATTGTTAAAGATACAACGTTCTGAAGACTCGCATTTAAACCGTCTAACATTAATTCACCGATGTAATACATTCGAATGCAAATTAACTCTATTATTTTTTGCAGGTGGCATATTTTTACGGCCCGACGACGGAAACGTATACACAACGTTAAGTACCAACCCGAACGTGTACTTTCAAAGAGGAAACGGAATGCATCCTGAAATGATGTACTGAATAACTTTTAGGAAGGACAATCGCAATCATTATCTATGCATACCATTAAATTATTAACAGTTAGAAAGGAATTAAAGAAGCGAATGTACTGCGTAATTAAAACCATCAATTTTTTACACTGCAATTTGTGTTTGCTGTTTAAGTTTATTTAAATGGAGTAGCTTAACTTTCGATTTTATGCAAAATATTGGCTCATTGTTTGACTGGACAGCTGCGAGAGTACACAATAAATAGACCTTGAAAATAAATTGTTCAACTTCATTTGATTCGTGATGTGGATCATTTACCTCAATCAACGAGAAATTTTTGTTTTCACTGAAACCAACTTCGTAATTGCGTTAATTAGAGCATTTTTTTTGTATTAAAATCAATCGATACTCAGAGAAACTGTGGAAGCTCTATAAGCCGTAATATTACGTAGATTTGTGATTTTTTTTAATTATTTAAGCATAAGTATTCTCATTTTAGTACTTAATTATAGTAATTGTACAAATTATTCGTACAAAAAACTACTAATGTAAATAAATTTTAAATCTTAGTTTAATTATTTTGCATAATTTTAAAAATAAGTGAAAGACTAACCAGTAGAAATGTATTGTCGAAAATAGTTTTAGTTGTTCTTACCCCTTTCTCGAATAAGTGCCTATTCAATTAAATTAAGTTATAACGTGTACATATTATAATTTAAGTTAAATAAAGCAGCGATTTAGATTCTAATTATTTACTCATTACATAATTTCCACGCAGTTCAAAATTCTACTATTTGCGACTTTTTTAATTTGTAAACGTCTCTTTGTCTTCGTCATTTTAATACGTACGAACTTTACCTTCACAATTTCATTTCCTCCAATCGTTGGAAATTAAATATAGACATTTTTAATACAAAATACGTTTATTCAAATCAAAACCCATCGTACAAAAATAAATATGACACCTTAAAATCGTTCGATTTTGCATATTCTAAAGGAAACAACTTGTTCCAACCGTGCAACTTACTCAATAAATCAACCATCATCGGTTTGGAAACGTCTAAATTACTAACCAAAGAATCGTTCTGCCAGGAATGCAGAAGCGCCTCGTCCTCGTCGACGAATTTGAATAAAACCTTCGCCACATTATGAGCAACGACGTCCGTTTCGCCGTACAAAATTTGCAATTTCTTCTCGAGTATCCACAACAGCAAAGTGTCCGTTTTGCCAGGCGAAGTTCGGCACGCAACGATCAGCTTCGAGGAGTTGTGAAAGGAATGCCTGAACGAATTTTTAACCACGTAATGAACGTCTTCAAGACTGGAAGTGTGTATTTGGTTGTTATCGTTCGAGAAACTGACGGTGTTAAACCAAAGTTTGAGAGTATTCGTGTTGTGTTGCGTGCCCAACCACTGCAGGCAGAACTTACACACAAGTATTTTATTGGATTCTTTATAATTTTTAATGTTGTTTTTACTCAAATGTACGAAAGAGTGCGAGTAGAAGGCGTCGGATTCTTTGGGATCTAAACTAAAGTCTACGTTATTACCGTGATTGTGGCAGAACCAATCGCTACTATCCGAACATTCGGATGGAAGTGGCAAAATTCGATCAAAAGTAATAACATCGGAAAGAGAATGCTTGCAATTCCAACAATTTATTCTGTACTGAGTGCCTTTGGATAAAAGCGGTTTGCTACTTAACGACTCTATACTAGCCACAGTGTTTTGCAGAAACTCCGTCTTAAAAGTACCAGCATTATCGTTGGTATTATTAGTTAAAAATCGAAAACTAATAAACTTATTAGTAATTTTAATCGAAGATAAACTGTCGACCATAATTTGAACGCTCGTGCATTGTACCCTTTTAATTATTTGATTCACATTTAATACCACCGCGTCGTTTTCTAAGCGAATATCTACAAACTGGGGATACGAAATTAATTCTACGAAACCATTCACACTTTGAATTCTCGGTCGGATTTCTAACAAAACGGATTTGTATATTTTATCATCCATTTTAGCAACCTTTTAAAACACCCTCGCTCTCTAGCTTTGCGAATAGCTTCTCATTTTCGCGAATAGCAAAAGGAATAGTCGCTTTTTGGTAGTAATCAGAAACTAATTCTATGTTACTGATTACACTCGATAGCAAATGAGCCTTCTCTACCAAAATACCCGGCGCGTCGTGTTGTAAGTAACAGAAATGCACGTGGAGATGATAGAAACTCGGCTGGTAGTGCAGGAATATCCTCAAACGAGAAGCATCCAAGGAATACTTTTCTTTAATCGCTTCCTAAAAAAATCACAACAATTTTACAAATTGTAGTACATTCAACTAGATAACTTACGATTCCTTTTTGTTTAATATTTCTCAACAACGGCAAATGATCCCCGGTGAGGTCTCTCAAAGATTTTATCCCACGTTTATTAACAATAGCTAGTAAATACAAAGTTTCTACTTCTCCATTCCATTTGAGATCGGGAAGCATTACGAACCCATTGGTAGGATCGGCATCTTCGAATACGATTCTTTCCGCCTCAGATTTGTGTTCGAGAATATTATAAACCCACTGCAAATTGAACTGCTCGTTGGTTAGATGTGGTAGAACTACTTCTTCGTATATACGGGGTGTTTCATCAACTATATAACGCTTTTGAGCGGAATACTTGACGATATGCTTTTCAGTTGCGGGATGAATGATAGTAGTTTTAATTTCTAATAAAAGGAGAATTCAATTCAAATTATTTATTAATTAATTTCGTTAATACTCACCGCTTAAAAGCTTGCTCGGGTAATATTTGTAGTTACCATAGATATCATTAGAGAAAACTTTTTGTAAAGGATATTGCTCGGTAAAATAATCCTTACTAGAACCTTTAATATCTTCTTCAACAAAGGCAGTCTTTTCTAATAAAACTATTGCTGCACCTTCTTTGGAATCGAATGTTCCTTTGAGACAAATTGACTTTCGGTCGGTGCTGTTTGATAGAACACTTTCAATAGTAAATCCTGATAAGTTCGATAAGTTTTCGTTGATACTTTCTGTGGGTATTACATTTTCTTTGATTTCAAGCTTTGGCTTTTTTGAAACTGGATTTTCTGTATCTGAATCAACAACACACGCTCCCGTTGACATTTTAGTATAACCTCAACGCATTCTCCTTTTTTTTTAAGAACATGTTTTTTCGTTTGTGGTGGCACCTTTTTATTCGCTAAGAAAAAAGAAGACTGAAAGTTAACAAAACATCCCGTGATGTAAACTTTTTGTTTTAGTTCATATTTTCGTGAATAAAATTAAAATACAAAATTAATCACTATTTTTAGTGGACAGAACTGAGAAAACCTACAGATTTCACTTACAGCCTAAAATTGCAAACAAAAAAGGCCAGTATTTAAAATGAAATGACAGTGACACGGTTGACATTGACATGTTTGTCAACATTTAATTATTCTACATGGTTGTTATTGAAGAGTGCAAAGTTTATCATAAAATTTAACATTCAATTAACTGTAATATATTATTCGCAGCTATGTCTGTAGTTTCGAAAGTGAGAGGGTTTTTTTATAGACACAAGAATAAGTTTGTCGTTGGGGGAGCGTTAATATCTGGAACAATTTTGTTGTCGAAGTATGCCCAACACAGGCTAAAAGAATGGAAGGAAAGGGAAACTATAGAATTTTTCGATAGGAACCGCAAGCAAAATCACTTTGATAGTATAGTGAAAACTAGCAATCAAACTTTTTCTAATTTTTCAATAGCATTGCAAGATTTGATATCTGAAATAATCAATGCAGATGATATAATAAACCAATTGACCAAAAATCCAGAAAACAAAATCGAATTGTGGAACAATTTGAAAGTGCTAGTTTTCACGAAAGTGGGATGCTTAATTTATTCTACTGCAATGCTAGCCATTTTTGTAAAAATACAATTGATGATTATCGGTGGTTATTTGTATAAAGATCCAAACAGTGTACCTACAGAAGTTCAAGAGAAATATTTATCATTGTGCCAAAATTTTCTCAATTTTGGAGTAAAGAAGTTAGCTAATATTATAGAAAACGAGGTAAACTCCTGCTTGTTACGAATCCAAATTACACACTAATTCCTTCATTGCAGGTTTTCAAGTATGTAGGTATATTAGACCTGACAAAGCAATTAAAACTGAGTGATATAGAAAGTATTTATTGGTCAGTGCAAGTATCACTAGCATCAAATAAAGATGGACCAATTGAGCAATTAAGAAAGTACATACTTACCGACGATGACCTGCCGAATTCCAGTGACATTTACGACAGTATGGTAAGTATCATTTACTCCATATCATTACTCAAGTTTGAATTTCTAATATTTTACAGATCAACGATACAGCTGATTTCCTAGACAGCGATGAAGTTAAATCATTAGCAACTCATTGCATCAACCAAGGTTTCAATTTGCTAAGTGATCAACTAGCAGAGTTTTATACTAAAGATAACGTCACGTCTACCAGTGATACAAATGACCCATTCACAAATCCCTTCGATCTAACAAAACCCCTAGCTAAATTACTACCTTTAATGAATCGTTCAATGGGGAAACAGTCTTTTCCCCAACTGTTTGTTCAACAATTAATGTCAAATAATAAACTTCAAATATTGAGCGCGAACGTTTATGAAAGTTTGTTATAATTTTTAGGAATTAAAGTTTGTGTTTTACTTTGATTTTAGTTTAATTGTTCATTACAAATCATATGGGTCACAAACTCTGGGCTTGGGACTTTTTAGTAATTGGCAAATTGCATACACAAAGTTAATTCTAGCGTCGTCTTCTAAATCCAGGTTATAAACATCATTGAATCTAATATTTGGTATGTGATCAAACGGAGGATTAGTGAGACTGTCTTGTTGGGATTTATAGGCCAGAAGGAGCTTATCAACTTTACTGCTTGTCATGCAAGAGTGGATATCCGCCCAAACGAAGTTGTTGTCATTTGCGCACTTGAAAAAACAATATTTTATAAAAATAAAACGGGTACAGGTTGTCAATAAATTACCAGTTTAGCTATAGCTCTTATTACTGTTGCGCTGGTGTTTCTGCTAGATGCTGATACAGCACAGTTTATATAACTAAGGTGCTGTGCTTGACTCGCATCGAAATTGAGAACGCAAGCGAAGGCTTTATTAAGGAAACATTCTAATGGTCCATGCTGGCAGGTCCATTCCAGACCTTCGTCAGTTTTGTTTAACTTCTGTAAATATCTAACTGTAAAATCTAACAATAATTGAAATGTGTACTTACAGTTTTTCCATATGGAACCAAATCTAAGGTAACGTAATCGCTAACGTTCGCATAACCGGGATACAGTTGTTCTACTATAAACTCGTGACAAAAGGGGCACAACGATTCGAAATACAACGATACTTTTACTTTGGATTCCTGCAAAAGTTTTTAAGCAATATAATTAATCAAATCGATTTGAAAATTTACCTCTGTAGCGAAGGAAACGCAAAATAAACTCGCGAACAAGAGAAGTTTAAAATTGAACATTTTTTCCTTAATGAATGCTGGAATCGGTGAATAAAGTATACAAAAAAATACCTTCTGGTTAAATTTTTAATCGAAGTAGAATATAGTTTTTATAATAACATTGATTAGATAAGTTATATCGTAGCAAAACCATTCAATTGATCTTTAAGTGTTTATTTCCCAATGGAAAGATATTTATCGTATAGTTCATTGATTACAATGTTTTATCAATTTTAAATTAAAACGTTTTATTTATCAAATATATTTTTTAAATATGTATAACAAGAGGTAATGATAACAAGCAATTAATCAATGTATTTTTATGTTTATTAAAATAAAAATTTCCAGTACAGTATCATTACTCGACTTAATGGTCAAGGAACTGAAGACATACGTCTGGTGGCCAAACTGAAAAAGATTCGCATACAGCTATAGTAAAATTCGTTCTAGAGTCTATTTCAACTGCCGTATTTTCGTCATTATTAAATCTTATGGTCGGTACAAACAGGAGCTTAGGATTAAGCGAGTTTTGTCGATTTTCGAATCCAGCGAGGAGATCATCGCCTTTGCTGGTCACGCATGTGTCCAAATCTGCAGCTTGAATGTTGTTTTTATCGGCGCACTGCAGCAAAAATATTATTGATTTATGATCATGTGACAATAATGCATACTAATTTTTACCGTTTTAACTAAAGCCTTAATTTCGTCTGGGGAATTACTCTTAGAAGATGCAGATGCAACGCAGCTTATGTAACTAAGTTTTTGCACTTGGGTCAGTTGGAAGGTGGTAATGCAGGCGTAAACTTTGTTAAGATAACACTCAGACGGACCGTTTTCGCAAATCCATTGAACCCCCGAATCGTTTTTGAATGAGTACTAAATACAATCGTACAAAATCACGAATTTATCTGTATTTTTTTCATTGTACTTACTGCTTTTCCCAAAGGAATTAAATTCAGTGTAATTACATCGTTAATGTTTACTGTGCCTGGATAGAGCTGATTTACCACAAAATCCTGACAACCTGCATCTAAGGCTTCGAAATAAACGTCCACGTTAATCTTATCATCTAAATAAGCCTAGGAAATAAATTATTATTGTCGACATACTTTATAGAATTATTTAATATAACTTACTGCGAAAGAAAACGAAAGCAATCCTACTAACAAAACACCTTTAAAAGCCAACATTGTTGATCAACGATATCGTTAATTTTATTTCTTTTCAGAAATTAAAACACTGTACCTATATTTTCTAAATATTTAATCGACTTGATGAGTGGGTTCAAAATATGATAAGTATCCCTAGCAAGATAGCGAACCTGCATGAAATATTAATTAAAATCGCGACGAACAGTTACATACCTTCTAGATAATAAAATTAATAAAAGAACAAAGAAAATAAAAACACTCTTATTTATTTATCTAGAACAATCTAAGAAGCTTTAAATATATTTTTTTCATTCGAAACGTCAGCTAAAGCCATGAGTGGGTTTTAAATATAATTAAATAATCAATACATTGATATCTTCTGTCCTACACGCCTTAGGTTTCTGGTCAAGTAGCTGGCACATAGTCCTAAAGAAGTTTTCTCTAAGGAAAGTGTCTACGGTTTGGTTAAAAACATCATTTATGCGAATACTTGGCACATAACTAAGTCTAGGAACCAAACTATTTTGACGCTTTTCGTACGCCATTTCCAATTCGTCAGCTTTACTCTCCAAACATTTTTCGATTGTATTCCAAGTGACGTTTTCATTTTGTGCACACTAAAAATTAAATTTACGACAAGTGGCGATTAAAGAGTCAATAATTGTTAATGATTTCTCACTTTTGTTGCAATTCCTTTGGCTTCGTCTTCTGAACCCGGGAAACCAGCGAGGAAACAATGCAAAAAGTTCATTACTTCTATTTGAGTTTTATTTAAATTTACGAAGCAAGCATTCACTTTATTTATGTAGCATTCGGGACCACCATGTTGGCACTGCCACTCGATTTTCCCGTTAACTGTTCTGTGCTAAAATAATAGAGATTCAAGCAATCTGCGAATAAACTACAGTTAAGTTTCTTGAACTAATAGTAAAACCTTTGATTAAAATATTTTAAGGCTATAAATAAGGCAGGAAAATAAAAAATAACATGTTTTTAATCTACTTACAGTAGCAAAACCCAGTGGTACCAAATCCAAATTAATATAGTCCGTGAATTTATTGATATTTGGATAAAGCTGTCCGTTAATAATTTCGTGACAAGCTGGACAAAGCCCCTCAAAGAATAATGTCAATTTTAGGGGATCCTGCAAAAAATGTTTGTTAATGTAGAATAATAATATGGTTGTCACTAAACAAAAATTAAGAGAAATTGTAGAACCAAAAAAATACCTTATTTACATTTCCCGAAATACAAGTTAAACTCATAAGTAACAAAGAGACTTTAAAGATAAACATACTAAAAGTGTACTTTTGATTATTTATTCTTGATTGGCAAAATTGGAACTCGTCGATATATCTTATAAATTCTGTTATTTATAATAACTAACTGTTTACAATAACTAGTCAGAAGACGCCCGATTTAAAATGATCGAATGTTAACGAAAAATGAAGATAAGACGCGTACTGTAAGTCCCAATTAAGATTTCTAAAAATACACATATAAACTCATTGCAATATTTATACGACTTTCAAAATTGATTAGGAATAATGTATATGTATACAAATTAATAATTACTTCATCCTTTATTTATTCTTATAGTTTGCTTTTTTTAGTTACCTCTCATGGTCTTTGAAGAATCCACCGAAATTTTTAAGCAGAAGCCTTTGGTTTTGTTCTGAACAGTTTATAATTTCTTAAAACATGGTTAAAGTTGTTGAAATGCGAAATTCTGGCAATAAGAACAAAGCCCTTCATAAAATAAAGTGACTTTCCTGAATTCTACTAACAAAAAGGCTTTAACAACAAACGATTACAAACAGAGCAAACGTTTCAAAAATTTCAGATAACAAAAATAGAATTACTAAATTAATATTAATATTATAGTGGATAATAAATGAATAAAGAAAATAATAATACTCTTTTATTTATTTATCTGTAGAACAAACTAAGAAGCTTTTTAACATAATTTTTTCGTTAAAAACGTCAGCTAACGCAATGGGTTTATAATTGATCTATTATTCTTTACACGCCTTAGGTTTCTGATCAAGTAGCTGGCATATAGCTGAATGGAAGTCTTCTCTAAGGGACTCTTCTACGGTTTCATTGTAAACATCATTTATACGAATATTTGGCACGAACACAAGTTTAGGAACCAAACTATTTTGACGCTTTTCGTAAGCCAATTCCAATTCATCAGCTTCATTCTCCAAGCAATGTTGGATTTTACCCCAAGCAACGTTTTGGTTTTTTGCGCACTAAAAATTAAATTTAGGATAAATTAAGATATATTTATTATATTTGTTATGTGTTTCTTACTCTTTGAGCCGTTTTTTCGGCAGCTTCCGGCGTGTCTGGGAAATCAGCGAGTAAGCAATGCAAAAATTCCATCAATTCCGTTTGAGTTGTGTTTAAATTTATGAAGCAAGCATTCGCTTTGTTTATGTAGCATTCAGCAGGACCATGTTGGCAATCCCATTCGACTTTCTCGTTAACCGTTTTGTGCTAAAATAATATTCAATCTACGAATAAACTATATTTTACACTATTTGTATCAATCAACTTACAGTAGCATGACCCAGGGGTACCAAATCCAACTTAATATAATCCGTGAATTTTCGGATATTTGGATAAAGCTGTTCATTAATGAATTGATGGCAACCTGGACAAAGTCCCTCGAAGAATACTGTCAATTTTAGAGGATCCTGGATAAAAAATAATTAAAAAGTCAATAAAAAAATTAAAAGAAAATGTAGTATCAAAAATGTTACCTCATTTACATTACAAGAAATGCGAGTTAAACTCACAAGTAACAAAGAGACTTTAAAGATAAACATAATGAAAGTGTACTTTTGATTATTTATTCTTGACTGCAAAATTGGAACTCGTCGATATATCTTATAAATTCTGTTATTTATAATAAAATGTGACGGATGAGAAATTTAAATAAATTCCTTTAATAGCCCCGGATGTCTGATTTAAAATGATCGAATGTTCACTCAAAAATTTAAGATAAGACGCGTACTTGTAAGTCCAATCTTCATCGCGATGAAGATTTGTTGATAGTTGGAAACATTTAAATAAAAAAAAATACTACATTTTTCAGTGTTTTTATTTAAAATCTTATCATTCTTATTGGGAAATAGCATTTCCTACTTTCCTAGTTTTCAAAAGAAGGTTTTTAAGCAAGCTTTCGGTTTGGTTTTGAACAGTTGACATGCTGTGGCCACGAAATCTTCCCTCGCTGCATTTTCGGTATCTTCATCGCGTTTATCGTTAAATAGTATGGCAGGAACGTATTGAATTGGTGGTTGAACTTTTTTTAATCGTTGTTCATAAGCCAACAATATCTTATCGACTTCTTTATCGAGACAAGAGTTTATTTTATCCCATGGAAGGTCGTTCCCTGCGGCGCACTGAAACATTTTATTTTTAAATTGAGTGCGTGTAAAAGAGAATATTTACTTTACTTTCTTGGCAAGATCTTCCTCGTATTCCTGGCTTTTGTATATATCGGAGTCTTTCAAGAAACAATTTTCAAATTCCATCATCTTTGACTGAGTGTCGCTTACATGAATGGCACAAGCACTGACTTTGTTTATGTAACATTCTTTTGGACCATGTTGACAACTCCACTCAATTTGACTGCCATTGTTTTCAGGCTATAAATTGAATATTTGTTGCAAAAAAAAACGATTATTTCATCTTATTACTCACTTGTTGCGCTGATACCAGATCGATATCCAAAGCATTTCCTAGTTTCTTAAAACCTGGATAAAGTTGTTCAATAAAGAAATTGTGGCAAGAAGGACAAAGCCCTTCATAGAATAAAGTGACTTTTAATTGTTCCTATAAAACAATGTTTATAATAACTCTGAAAATTGTATATAAATGAATATTGGAATTACCTGCGAAGTTACTGCAAGAGCAAATGCACAAATTAGAAACAGTTTTGAATACATGTTGATATTAATAACGCGAAACATGAAACTGTGTAAATTAAATTCTTGATATCCATTTATAGTTATCAATTTATGTAAAACATAAAAAAAATCCCCTTTTTTTTAAATTTTTAGATAAAAGTAAGTGCATCATAAGAAGTGTGAATTGGTTTAAAAAAATATATTAGAGTTTCAATTAAAACGATTCTTATCTTGATAAAATTATATTTTTTTATAACCATTTCTTCAATATTCTATACAAAACATACTTGTGATTCCTAAAATTTTTTATAAATTAGTTATTCATAATTTTATGTAGTTCTATTCTCCATAATTCAGACTTTTGGTTCATAACAAACAGATTTTTTTTACAATTAAACAATAAAAACCTTGCGCATAAAAATAAAAACTAAATATATTATAAATTTTTGATTGGCTCATTAATTATATCATCATCGATCTTCATCACATCCCTCATAAATATCCATCCGGTCGCCGTCCTGACCAATCCTACTACTACAGTAGTGTTAAAAATGTACAAAACCGAAAGGACTAGAAACAAAACAATATCTATAAATAATTAAGGAATAAAATACATGACAATTGGAATTAATTCGTTTATTTATTAGTAACCCCACAGATAATTCTGAAAATTTCAGTTATTATAGAACGCAATTTAGTCATATTTAAATGATATACATATCCTTCGAACATTACGAGTACAAGTAAAATAATGGCTTCCCACTCAATGTGCAAGGTTGTAATTGGTGAAAAGTATTTTATAAATCATGTGATAATTTAATATTAGAAGTACTAAATACTTGAAACGTGGCAGTTTAACAATTGTAATCAAAAAAGGATACGAAACATGGCTCTTTCCCATTTTTCAACCATATAAAGTTCTGTTACGACAAGATATCGGAAGTACCAATATTTAATGAATTCTTGAATGGATTTTAACATTTTGCAATAGTTTTACTGTATTTAATATTTACTAAATTACGTTAAATCGGCAGAAACACCTCTTAACTAGCTAAAATAAATTAACCTATTAATTTTGACAAGACAACATTGGTATGACATATGCTATTTGACGTCTTCTTTTTGTAGACTCACTTGTTGCCTGTTACTATTCTAATTTTCAGCATTGTCTCGTAAATGCTATTATCCAGTTCATAAACAACTTACGAGGGTATTACCAAATTTTCTATACTAGAATAAAAATACATACAAATTATACATAGAATAAAAACTTTCCTATTTAGCAAAAAAATCCAACTTTTAATACCTCAAGTCACATTTTTCCTAATTGAAATCATTGTTTTTTTCCTTATCCCACGATTGTCATAAGACTTCATGGAAAAACAATAAAAGTTGGGTTGATTTGAATAGGAATGCGTTTAATAGAGATTTCCTTTTGCGATAAATCTAGGTATTTCATAAATAAATTATGGGCGAATTTTGCGTTTTTCATAATAATTAGTATTCAAATTGCGGCGAACAGTAAAGCAGAATTTATTGATGTGGTTAATTAAAAATTTTATTTAATTTACGCAATGTGCGATTTTATAGGATTATAAAATAAATTAGGTAGGTAGGCCTAAATTAATTTTTAAAGTATCTATGTACCTAATAAATATAATTTAGATGTCAGTTATTCTAATTTTGATGTCGCCCAGTGTTAAAGATAAATAAATTAGTGTCATTAAATGATTTAAGATAATATAATTGTTTTATTGTCATTTTATGTTAAATAGATTAATTATTATTATCTTAATAATTGAGAGATAAGTAGCGAAGTAGTGGCTCAAAGATGCTGTAAAATCGTTGTATTTATTTACTTAGTGGAATATTTTCGGTCAATATGGATTACATATTTTCTTAACAGTAATACTGTTTTTCGATAGGGAAATGGCTTACATATAGGTTTTGGTATCTATTCAACGAAATACTAGCAAGTATTTTTGTAATAACCAGTTGCCAAAAATTAATTAAAACTATTTTTATTGCCTATATGAGTAAGGTGACATTGACTTTCAAAATCAAGGCATACTTTCAAAAAAACTTGATTAATTCTGATTAAAAAAATTCCTCAAAAAATTGTCGTATATTCTGTAGTTTTATGAAACTGGCCGATTTTTTCGACCTCGTATAAATTGAAAAATTTAATAAATAACTGCATCAAGATAATTTAATTGGTTGCATTGTTATAACTTTTTCGATTTTCATTTGTGCATTTTAGGAAGGTCACGACTAAAATTTCAAAAGAATTCGTTGCAAAATTAATTTTAAATCTGTTAATATGTTAATCCAGATTAACAAATTGTTTTCATTGATTATTTTTAGTCAGATTGGGAACGTAGATTGGGAACAGAGAAAAATCGATAAGTGGTTTGTTTATTTTGGTGTAATTGAATCGACGACAATCTTAATGAAAGTATTATTTGTTGCAAATAAAACGACGAAATAATAAATTGGAGCAAAAATAGCCTCAAATTTTTTCTCTGTCATACGACGTAGACCAATTTTGTGACGAAACAGAAACACCTCCTGACATTTCTCTTTTCAAACAACTAGTGGAGCAAAATCAATATCTAGCTGGACGGAATTTCAATAATTAATTTCAATATGCTTTGTTTTCCTTTTGGCTTATTGAAAAAAATGTCAATCAAGAAAATCAGAAAAATTTTCTATATCTTTCAACCTACCTTCTATTTCAACTGAAAATTACGAGTAAGAAATATTATTTGAGAAATTTTCAATATTTTTTTTCGCAATTATTGTATTACTATGGTAACTTGGTTACATGCGCCATGTAAAGAACAATTCCAACTTTGATTCCTAGCATTTTGTTTTTTTTTTAATTTTCTAAGCATTCGGCTAGTCATAGAGAAAAAATGTTAAATAGAAATTTTATTATAATGATCATACGTTGAATGAAAAATAAAATTAGTTCAGTTATGAATTCGAGACATTAAGTTGCGTAGTGATAAGAAATTTGTGATGAAAGTGAATAAAAATAATTTTTGGTGGAAGGCAAATCTTTAAAAATATAAATTAAAGTTTTCGGTTTTCTTGGTTTTATGTGTAGTTTTAAATAGATGTTGCTTGAAAATCGTGAATATTTTTACTTTTGTTCAGTTAATGAATTTTTTTAAACTTAGGTCATTTACTGTTTTTATTTTTATGCATTTGTAAATTCAAAATACTATATTATTTAAATTTAATGTTTTATAGAGTATCATCCAAAATTACCCATATAAATATATTTTTAAATATGTCAATAAATAGCCAGAAATGTTGAAAACAACTCACTAAAATGCTGCAATGTTATAAAAACAAGGAAAACCCTTATTGGATTATATTGTTAAAATGATTAGCATAAGAAAGTTTTTCAAAATCAAATTTTTACATTAAAAATAATTTTCAAAAAATATCTTTAACGAAAATTAAAAAAAAATACATGGGATTAAAAATATTCATATCTTAGCACAAAAATAAAAATAATCAACATTACACAGGTAACTCAATAATAATGTATCTACATTAAAAAAAATGTAAAGTGCAGACATTTTCAGCTGAACAATAACGTTAAAAATGGAATAATCTACGTTTATAAGTAATAAACTTGTGATTTTACAAATATTGCAAACATGGGACAAATAAAAAATGTAATCTCCAAAGTTTTCTCCGGACTTCACACATGGTGTAACCTAAATTTCGTTATTATTCTATCACGATTGGACCTCCTTAAAACTGTTCCTATCAGGTAAATTATTATTTACGCAATTTAATCTAATTCACTGCAAACAATAATTTAAATCATAAACCTAGCGTATTTTTGTGCATTGTTGTGAGACGATTTAGATTTCGTCCATCTACAACTGCTTTTCTCTCGCTAATAGCCTTTCCATTCATCTAATACGTAACTTATTTTTAAATTAAAATTGCGACTATTTTTCCATACACCTAAATACTAACGGGGCTATTTTAAGATCCAGAATCTGTCCCAGTATCACTTAATGCTGGCTGTGGAGTACAGAAAGATTCAGTCGAAAATTTTTCGACACGCAGAGCAGATTGTGAGTAAATAAGTCGAAGAATTTTGCGCACCAGGTAGAAGGGAGATAGAATTTTGCGGGTTCAAGTAGTCCGCGCTTTAATACTGCAAAGTAAAGGTGTGCAACAGTGTAACCAATCTTTGAAATTGAAGTGTTAAACATTCGCATTGTATATCAATCAGTGGTGACACCCTACTAACTTACAGGTGCGTTATGCTACATTATAATTATTTTTTAATTAAATTTTAATGCCGCCGAGAATTCTCTCCACGTTAAATAATACAATTTTTCGAATAATTTTTCAAACAATCATTATAATTGTATTTATTGGGTCGATTTTATTGCATGCCATTCCAGTAATGTAATAAAAAAAATTATTCGTTTTTTAATTTCCCGAATTATTTTCTTATTGGTAATTACGAAATAATATTATATTCTTTTCATTATACTGAACCGTAATGAAAAAATTAATATTACCTATCCAATTACCGCTAATTTTTTGAAAATTACAAAGTAGTAAACATTTCGATATCTCTTCTTTTATTACATTAAAATTAAATATACCTACTGGCACTAAAAAATATCCAATTTCTAGCACGTTTTGTATTTTGCATTGGTCATCGTTTCCTTGTCGTTTTCATTTTCCTGGTAACTTTATCTGGGAATCGCTAATTTTTAATTTATCGCGTAAGAAGCGAATCGAAACGTGATTCGAGTGCGATTTGGTTGAACCACCGGAACAAGAAGTTAATTGGAATTGTTTACAAACACGCCTATAGGTATCATTATTTTAAAATCAATGACATCATAGAAAGTATATAACGTTCGAAGGTTAACGGACAATAATTTGATCGATTTATCTTACTAATGTTGTGAAATTTAGGGAATTCGCATGAATGAAGTCGACCGAAATATTCAAATCAATAGGTACTTGTAAAAAATATTACAAATACCTTAATACTATTTATTTAATACACGCGCCAATAATTGTCTAGCAAATTCGATAAAATTAGAATTGAACACAATCATTATTTATTCAATTCGTTCTCATAAGTTTACTTAACATATCGTGTATTGAAATTAACAATATCTGGTTGAAACTAGTTCATACATTTAACATGACATGCCAATTATTTTGATGCGAAATTATTGAAGACTCCTTTTTGATTGATACGCTGCTCAATCATGCGATTCCTTCAATTAAAACCTTTTTCAAATATTAATTCGTTGCTCGAAAGTCGACCAATATTGGCGTCATAGTGGAAACGTTCGCTCTTAAAGTGCATTTCTTAGAACGAACGTAGCAGATTTAGTCTCTCAGGATGTGAATGATGCTTGTTAATTTCAATACAATGGGCAAATCACACTCATCTACTCAACATTGCAGCATGAGATTCGTTAATGCTCTTGGCAACCAAAAAAGTTAATAACACCAGCCTTGTTGTATACCTCTTTTCGGGGTCTTTGGAAATACCCCAAGATTTCTAAACAATAGACTTTACCAACACCACATGTATTTTAAATGATTTACAATATTTAAGACCGTAGAATGGCCATAAGACGAGCTTGTAGACACACCAGCAATAAATAAAAACAGCTGTTGATAGGCCATTCCTTGTTCAGAAATATTTAAACAAAAAGTGGGTTTTATTACTGATCTACTAGGGGTATTTTATGTAAGTAGAACTAAGAATACCACCCTTAAGTAGGTATTGTATCAAAATATTTTTCTTTCTTCATTAATAACGTTTGGTAATAAAATTTATTGCGAATTTTATGTAGATCGAGCACATGGAATGTAACGTTATTATTAATAATTATTCGAACCTTGAACGTACCTACAAAATAATTAGATCTGGTTATAAAGCGCAATTACACCTAGTGTTACCGTGTAAAAACGTTCGATTAAATTATAATTGCGAATAAATTTCTATTGACAGATCTCTAACAGTATTGTTTTCTTACATCCGTGCTAATAATAACAAATTACATAGAAACGGAGATTTCCTATCAAATTTGAATAAATTTACATCCGTTCGATAAAAATCAGGAAGTAAGGAATGCATTTCTATTTGCTTAAACAATTATTTTGTTGAAATTTAATGTATAATTTTTTAATCAAAAGATGTTTAATATCCTTGACACAAAAGTCAAAATAATAATATAATTAACAACTAATAATTTCAAACATATTTTCCTTCACTACATAATTTACCAAAAATGCAGTTTTTAAATAAATATCCACTAATTTAAAAAATAATCTCTGGAAGTAGCGCAACAATTTTTCTTTTCTCCAACATGTAGTATAAACTTTAATTAAAAAAACTAAACAATTCAGTTGTATAACGGAACTGTATCATGGAAAACTTGAAAATTTTCCGTTTAGCAATATCGCTTTATCCAGTCAGTACAGAGCATTAAACGCATTTGATTATCATAATTGAAATTATGAGATGCAATAAATTTGAATATTCATCGCGGATGCTGTAATTTTAATTGTACTTGATGTTTGCATTATAATATGAGAAATAGGTAAATTTGACAAACATATTTAACGATTCTCGTTATTTATTTACTATGATAGCTCACTTAGTTAGAATTTTATTTATGTAACAAAATGAAAATCTGTTTGCCATGAAGAAAATGTTAATACACAGGCAGAGGAAAATAGATTGGTTGGTTTATCTTTGATTCAATTGTTTTTTTTATTGAAAAATGGAATTTTAATATGTATACCTGCTCATGTTGCTAAATATTTTTATATTAAATATAATAAATATTAGTTCAGTATAAACAATCGTTTGTCAATATTTTATTTATTACAAAGAAAATATTTTTTACCTTACACATTACTGGCTTGTATTATTTACAAGCACACAGTTTTATTATTATAAGAAATGCGGATTATTTCCGTAACAGGTAAAAATATTTTCAAACTCGTAGTAAAATTTGTAGACGTCATTTCAAATTCCGCTCTTTCTCTGACGTACATACCTACCTACATATGCTTTTGGGACAAAATAAAATGCAAATTTGATGAAAAATATATTTAATATACTAAACTGAACGGTTCAATCACCATTTCAGATTTTTTTTCTGGGATTTACTAAATTTAGAATACGCCATACAATTTATAGGCATCAATTAATACTGTGAAATCCAGTCCTTGCGATATAATTTATTGTTAAACTATATGCCACTTTTACGTAACTACATGCATTAATATTCCAACAATTTATTGCAAAAGCAAAAAAACCGTGGTTACAAAAAACCCTCCTAAAATTAACTAAAATTTTTAAACCATTATTACGAGTACCTACATATATTATGTGGTTTTAAAATGAGTATTAAATATTCACGATAATATCTTTTTAATAATTTGAATTAAGTAAATGATTTCAAAAAATTAAAATATGGTTTAGCAGGAGAAGCAAAAATTTTCCTTTACTGCAAAGAGTGGAAAGCAATGTGTCGAATTGTCAGATTTAAATTAATAGATAAATTATTATCAATAGATAATATAATTAATTACCATTAAACACCGAATACCATAGTATACCTTTACAGCTGTTGTACTTTACGCAGTCGTACCTACAGTGTGTACTTGCACTGTACTTACTTAAGTAAAGTAAGGTAGTAAATATATTTTAAAAATTATTAAAAATGGTGATAAAAGTTGATGAATCTGACAAAACACTTGGTGGGTAAGTGTCTATTTTATATAATTTTTATGTAATTTTAATATGTAATTGTAATATGTAATTGTAATATGTAATTTTATGTAATTTTAATGTGAACATTTTCTATTAATTATTTCTTATAATTTTGACTTAATGTTCATTTGATACAAAAATGTTATTAATTAGAACAGATTCTGTTGAAATAATATGTACCTGAGAAATTACAGAAATAAATTACCTACGTATTCGGGATTTACAATTTTTTATGTGATTTTTTTTAATGCCGAATCCAATTAATTATGTTAGGTACCTATATTATATTACCTTCATTTTACTCGGATTTGCTTTTTTAACTTAATTTATGTCTGTTGTCTGTTTATATCTTTTTCTTTAGATTTTGACAAATGTTTGAATAAATATAATTGTTTTGTTCATTGCCCTCTGAATTATTTTGTATCGTCTCAAAATTCCTTTCAAATATTTCAAGTTGTTTTTGATTTAATTTTGTATTTATTTTAAATGACCTTGTGTAGCTAAAATAAGTTGAAATAAAGGGCGATTGGAACTTGAAATTAATCAAAATGCCTTTATTTATATTAGTTAACCTGTTATAATATAATTATGTTAGTTTCTCATACTGTGCAAGTGAAGCTGCAACCATTACTATTTTTTTCCAATTGCCCATTTCTTTTTCATAAATCTAATTTAATATCAAAAATCATTGAAAACAGTAATATTAATCTCTACCCACTTTACAAATGTACAATCTGGCACAATTTTGCAACTAAAACATATTTGGCTACGTAACTAACGATAAATATATTTATTTAGATAAATTGTAGCAATTACCTATTTTTTTGTGTCTAATATTTTGGTGAGATAGATTGTTAAATAATCGTCAAGTAAATAAATATTACATAATTGTCAATCTCACACAATAGTATCTATATTGAAGTTGTTGCGCAGTTATTTGGGCTTGCTTATTAAAAATAAATTCATTAATTTTTATGCATTTTAAATGGCGAGAAAATTAAGCCGTTGGTAGAAAAAACGTCTCATGAAAATTCATTACATACCTTCCGATTTAATGCCAAGCTCGTGTACGCCTACGAGTTTTACTAAATGTGTATCCTATTGAACATATTGGTAATTATACAATTTAAAGAATAATTGTTCAAATAACTAAGCCTTTATTACACAAACAGTTATTTATTTATAGCCATTTATAAAAATCCAATCAATGACTCTGAATGTTTGCCAAACTGAAATCACTTCTTTAGACGCTCTTACATCATTTGAAGCTAAAATTAACTTATACAAGTTTGGATCACTTCTAGCCAAACACACGATTATCACGCGATTTTTTCTAGTTGCTCACAGTAAAATTTCATCGCTGAAATAATATAGTCAGGACCACTTAAAGCCTATTTTCAACGATGAAATATTTACAGAAAATTAATAAATAATTTATGAAATGGCATAAATTCAACGGTTAATGCAGGTCAGTTTTTTATTTACACCTTGTAGATTGATTTATAGCGTTTTTCAATGACGTCTACAATGCATATTTCTTCGACTAATATAATAATTGGATCATGAAATGGTTTCAATTATTACTGATGTCCTTGCTTTGTGTCATGTTCAAACGAAACATTGTGATATTTTATTAATAACTTTTTTTTATATTTTATAATGTATTCTTTCACAAGACGGTTGTATTTTTTTACAGAATTTTGAATTTGTTGTAAATTATGTTATTTGTGTTCTCCATAAATTGTTTGAATTACCTACTCGGTGCATTATTATTAATAGTATTCTAATCTTGACGTTGAAGGTTTAATTGTTAACATTTCCTAAATTAGTTTGCTATATTATCATATAGAGAAAATTACTTTTTGGCATTGAAAAATGCCTAAATAAACTACGATAAATAAAATTAATTTTCCAAAAATAAAAACCAGTGGTAGAAGTACGTGTCTCCGTTGGTTATAAAAATATACATCCGATGATTTTAAGAGAATTTTGTTTATTTCGATATTTTATGAATAAATAACTGGAAGTTTTCCGTCGAATTCTAATTTATTAATATATTTAAGAAGAATAACTGACAAGAACAAGGTCACTTTCAATCAGTAAATAAATCTAATTTTAAGTGCAGCTTAAGTATATAAATCCTAATCGCAATCGTATCGCGATATAGAGAAAATTTAAAATTAATTTTTATAGCGCTTTCAAGTTTGTATATAATTTGTCGAAAAACACATAAATCATCTTTACGATCAGTGTAATTCCTCTCTTTAGAGGAATTATTTTACTTACTCGTAATTAAATTTAATTATTTCGATTTTATTACGTATTGGCAAGTTTAAGTCTTTTTGTATAATTATCTGATAATGCAGATTTTAATAATAAAATATTTTTGAAACCAAATTTCTGCCAGTTATAGTCGACTATTTATTAGTACACTAAAATTGGTATAGGAAATGCGATTAAAGAAAATTGATTTTTAAAACATATATACGTTTTGGTAGATACCTAAATTATTGTTGCGATAAGAATTAATGAATGGAAATAACACATTCATAATGCATTAATTACACAAAAATATTCATGTATTATACCAAATGTTATACTGAACTTTCATTATAGCGTTTCCTTCAGTTCCCTTCATAAAGAGAAAACTCTTATATTACCTAGTTATCAAATGACAATAACGTGGTATTAAATTAGAATAAACTGTTCATTTAAACAATAATTGCATCATATTTAACTCTAACGGTGTTATTTTTATTCAGGATGGAATTGCAACACAGTCCCAGCAGATATGACGTCGAGGGTAACAGAGGACCTTGGTATGGTTCTAAAGCGAGTTGTACAAGGTAAGTTTGATTGAATTAATTGAAAACGAATCTTACAGTGGCGTATAGTTAATTGATTCGTATAGGATTATCCGGTTTACCATTGCAGAAATTCTTTAATAGTTCCTAATTAATAATTCATACATTTATGACTTTTTTGCATTAACTACGTAATTTCTGCTGTTGTTTTCCAATTACTCGTTCACGTGATTACATAAAATAACGAACGGAAATTTTCTGAAAAGGTATTTTTCATTTTTTTATCATAACCTAATATCTACAAAACAAACATGAAGAATTCTTGGATAATAGATATAATAACAATAAACTGTTGCAATAAAAATACAATTCTTTGGACAAAATATTTGTTCAAATTAAATATATGTTAATTTCCCGGAAGAATTTCCCATAACATAATTTCATGCGACACTGAATTGAATCATTTTCCAAGATCTGAAGAAGGTTGCATGTCGTAATAAATATGTTAGTTACTTGCAGACTTACGCAAGTGAGGACGTGCTAAAAAACGAACAGTTGGAATATTCTTTTATAAAAATGGAATCTTTAGAATGCAATTAAATAAACAGTAAAATAATCGATTCATCTCTAAATGCCCAAAATGACACCAACTTTAAACAGTTAATAGAAATATAAAATAAATAAAGTAAATCCATAAAGTGCCGCTTATGATTTTTATCGAATACAGAGCATTTTAATGAAGGTAAAAATATTGTACTGTTAATTTAGCATGTTTGGTGTGCTGGCGAAATATTTTTGCGGTGTCGTTTGCCAAAAATTTAATTTTTACATATTAACAGCTTTAAAATTCAAATTACGTCACGGCCAACGTTTTATAGCTTGAATTTTCTGAATAAACTTGTAAGTTGATCCTTCAGATAACCCTTTTACAAGATTATTTCAAGGTGTGTATTTACGTAAGTATTCTTTCGTTTATTTGAGAATTGTTCCACAAAAATTTCACAAAAAATGACAAAATACGGAAGAGCGAAAAAATTAGGTAATTATCACCAATATTCGGACAATTAAAAAAAAGGACTATAGTATTTAAGGTTATTTAAATAATTATCCTTGTTTTGTACATTCTTTAGCTTTTTTAATTAACTCGAGCGTGGAATGCTAATTGTTGTAGTAGTACCTAAATTAAAATACGTACATACATGCATAATAGTGGAATATTCCATGTAAATAAAGGTAAATTTTTTTGACGTAGAAGGTCATCATTTTACGAGAATCAATTTACCACAAATTTGGTGTTAAATTTGGTGTTAAGGTATTTGAGATAAAAAAGCCAAACACATTGAACTTAATTTATTAATCAACCTTGAACCGAACCAAAATATTTTGTATCAGATTTCTAGGTGACGAGTTAGCAAAGTTATGTTAGAATATTACACTCGAATAAATCGACAAGTTACATAACCACAGCAAGCATTATGTAGCTAACAATTAAAAATTGCAAACAATACTTCTAGTTATTCAAAACATTTTTATTTCCTATTTTTAATAATTATTTACAATTTATAAAACCCATACCCATCTATAAAGCAAAAGATCATACATAATTCTTAATAATCCTCTGAATTTATTTATTCGTTTAATCAGTGGATTCTTCTGTAATTTTTTGAATCAAGTATATATTTTTATTACAGTAATGACGGCATCATGTTCCAATCTACGGATCTTATCTTGAAGCCTTCGGAAAGTAAAAAGAAAGGATCTCTTCAGGGCGATGGAGGAGGAACCCACGGTCATGGCTTTTCTGTGGAGCATCCCACCTCGTAAGCCTATTAAATAATTTTTAATTGATTATAATAAATACCAATCACTCATTATTACGAAATACACAGTAGAGTTATCTCGTACTCGTACTTTTTGGAATTTATTTAAAAATTTGTTCATAATTGTTGAATTTATTTCTATAGCATTAGTCTGTAACATAACTCTTATTAATATGACACTACACTCATTACGTTTTACTATATCTTTTAACGTTTGTTGTTCACATCAAAAAGTTTTTAACATAATAGCGACTCAAAGTGATAAATAATTGCAGAAAAGTCCACCAATTACATTGAATAACATGTATAATAATTATTATAAATAAAAAATCACCGTAAATATTTTTTTAAATAAATTAATTGGCTGTAACGAAACTAATCTGTTTGCTATCTGTTTACGAATAAAAATAAATTTTACGGTTTTTAAACTTTTGTTACAGATCGTGTCAGTAACGAAATCGTTAATATTAACAATGCTAACTTTCAAAAAATTCATAAACGACCCATCATTAATATTCAAATAGGTACTTAATTAGGTATAAGAGTTATGGACTATTGCATGTTATTTAATAATGAAAAAATAAACGAGAACAAGAGTGGCATTATAAATATTAATATCTAATACGATAGCTTCATTAATAATTTATGAACACATATTGCTAATAGTACAACACCCAACAGGATGGAAATATGTTACTTGTTTTTTATAATGCGAAAACAAACAATATTGATCGTCATCGAAGAACAAGAATTTCCTGTCTGATTCTCCCATTCAAAGTTTAGAATCTCCTTGAATATATTAATTTCCTTTACAACAACCGGCTGACTACCGTATTGATAAAATAATAAACAGCAAGAAAGGCCAAATGTCAGGAAGAAATTAATACGCTTAGATTTATTAAGTCAGATGCATGATTGGAATTCGTAATAATTGAAGATGTCTATTTAGAGACAATAAACATTGCAAATTAAATTTCATCGAACAGTGACGAAATGAACTTTTACAAAACTCTATTCTCGATATTAACTAATAAATTGAGACGAATATTTTAGCAATAGTTCACCAGACGTAACAGTCAATGTACTACGTAACAATAAACATATTAATAAAAATGCATGAGGAATTTCGCAACATTTTTTAGCCACACGTTTCTCAAAAATATTTGATGTTCAAATTAACAAAAAAATTACAGTGGTATAATGATTAGCTAGTTATTCGTTAAATATTCATGAAGGGAGATTGTTTGTTATAGCAATTTAAGTTAATTAATTTTTCAGTTATTTGGAAACATTGATGCACGTTTTTAAAGGAAACGTAGGATCCGGAATATTCGCTATGGGTGATGCTGTTAGAAACGCCGGAATAATATTTGGGCCCATAGTAGTATTATGTTTAGGGATTATTTGCGTCCATTGTCAACATTTATTGGTAAGTTTATAGGCCTTATGTTATAGACTAAATATACCTACTCCAAATTATTTTTATCTTCTGTCTATTATTTTTATTTTCACGAATTTATAAAGACAAAACATAAATCATCGATATTTTTTCGAAAATCTGGCTACGTCCAGCAGGTCAAGTGAATTTAATTTAATAGTCAACATATTTTTATGTTGTAGTGACATGAATTTTACTACTTTAAAACTTAAGCCATGTTTAATAATTTTAACTTTCCAAAGATTGTTTTCTTATGCTTTTTCAAATCTTGTGTCAACAAATCAGGTAGTTTACAACATAATTATATATAAAATTTCTACGAAATTTACTACCAATTTCCACCCTCTGACACATCTGCAAACCTTATGTCTTGCTAAGTTTCCATACTTTCAACACAAAAGTTTATTTACCTTTGCTTAAGCAACTGGGAGAGAAATAATTTTATTTAAAAAATGTAATAATTTGCAAATAGTTTAGTAATAATTTACACAAGAGAATGTCGCGTTCCGTAAATTTCAATTGGCAAACAATTTGTATAAAAAGTATAAAATGGGATACATTTAAAATATTTTCCATCGTGCCGCTTCGCACAATGAAAATATAAAGTACTGGGAAATTCGAAATTATTCTGCTCTTATTTAATATAACGCTAATAACGAGAATTGAAGAAAATTGTCGCTCTTAATAATGCAAATTTCATGCAATTTTCTCATTTCGATTATAATGCTGATAATATCTCCGTTCAATTATTTTCCATCCTATTTACATTAGGTTGTAAATTTAGTAATGTGCAGTTGCTCTTTCTGCAACCAAATGATTAATTAAACTACCGACAAAACGCGTCTTTTGTTGCGTAACACATGATTCCACACATTACCTGTGTTACATAGTGTTGAATCAATTGCCCGATTCGCGGTAATTTTTTAATTCATTCAATAAATGCGCGTGGAATCGGATTTGAGTCAAGGCTAAAGGCCATGGCTTGTAATTAACATTTTTCGCATTTTGCATTATTTACGTCAATTAAAGATTGGTCTCTTTTTTCAATGAAATTTAGTTTATTTATTACAAACTGTTGGATTTGTTAGAATTATAAAATACCCATTAAATTATGAGTGTTATTTTGTTTATTTGTCATTACATTTTCTTCGAGTATATTAGTAATTCTTCCACCTTCAATTTTCCCTTCTTTGAAGTTGCAAATGCATACCAAACTCTGGATTTTTCTCAGCTCCAAGCGGCCAAAACTCTTCGTGAACGCCACCAAGTGAAAGTACCTCCAGATTTCGCGGAAACCATCGAACTGTGCTTCGAAAAAGGACCGCCGAAAATGTCGCGGATATCCGGATTGATGAGGAAAGTGGTGAACTGCTGCTTGTGCATGACCCAACTTGGTTTCTGCTGTGTGTACTTCGTCTTCATATCGGACAATATCAAGCAAGTAAGTCGTGGGAACTATAATCGAAAAGAATTAGACAATCTGATACTATACCTACATTTCCTGTACTAATAATAAATTTTTATTTGTTTGTAGGTGATACGTTACTACGGTTTAGACCTGGATGTTCACCTTATAATGGTGATAATATTTATTCCGATCCTTCTGCCGTGCTTGGTGAGAAACTTGAAGTATTTAGCTCCTTTTTCGACGATCGCCAATTTCCTGATGATGGGTGGAATTATCATCGTTTTGTATTACTCAACTAGTGAAGGTCTTCCGGCGATATCAGAGAGGAAATACATATCAAGTTTGCAAACTATACCGCTGTTTTTCGGCACGGCCATTTTCGCATTCGAAGGAATTGGATTGGTACTGATTGGTAGTTAAATATCAGATAATTGAAGCTAATGTTGGGCGTATTTTTAGGTATTACCGCTACAAAATGAAATGAAGAAGCCAAATGATTTCCAAAAACCTTTCGGTGTACTTAACGTCGGTATGACGTTCGTCACGATTTTGTACGCTTTGGTAGGTTTTATTGGTTACTTGAGGTTTGGAGATGACATAGAAGGAAGCATCACTTTGAATTTACCTCAAGATCAAATGTAAGTTTTGTTCTTACACTATTACAACAGTTGATTAAATTGTGTAATTTTTAGTTTGTATCAATCTGTGAAAGTCATTATCTCGCTGGGTATTTTGCTAACGTATTGCCTTCAACTTTACATCGCTGTCGGTATAATTTGGCCAGTTATTCACGATAAATTAGGCGAAGTCAAACATCCTGTTTTTGCTGAGCTTATTTTTAGAACTGGACTTGTGTTGTTGACTTGTAAGTAAAAAAAATAATATCCCAAATTAATGGGTCCAGTACCAACATCTTTATTTCTTTTGCAGTTGTATTAGCCGAAGCTATTCCGTTCTTAAACCACTTCATTTCCTTAGTAGGATCTGTAAGTAGTACGGCATTGTGCTTGGTGTTTCCCGTCGTTTTGGATCTAGTAATGAAGTTTTCGCACGAAGAATTAACACCCTACATCATCGTAAAGGACGTTTTTATTCTTCTAATTTCTTTGCTGGGCATGATAACGGGAGGATTCGAAAGTATCAATTCCATCATTAAAGCGTTCGGCAAAAAAGACTAAATCCAGTGTAACAGAGGTAAAGAGAATTTGTAGACAAATGGAACGAAACCTACCTATAATGCAACCCGAACAACTACCTCGGCCAGAGTTTTCCGTTGCTAGTTTGTTGAAAACTCATGATACAATGCACGAATTTTTCTAAACGGGAATTTTTGAAAAATATACTGTCCAAACGAACAATTCTTATGATACTCTTAGGACATTTATTTTTTTTTCAGTTTGCAGGATTTTTTTTCCATATCAAATATTTTTTGTTTGACAATTCCAATTTTTCTGCGATGCACTTATTGAAGTGGACAGAATATTTTTTACTAAAAATTTCAAAATACAAATCCACCCTAGTTGTAAAAAACGTTAACCAGAATAATTAGAGACTTTACTAGATCTAGCAATTAAGCGTAAACGTAGATGAAAAGGTGCTATTTTGTTTAAAAAGTATTATTTTGACTTGTACATAGCAATTAGATATTAGTTGTAGTTTTAATTAATTTATATGAATCCTAGTTGGCTAATATTTATGTTACTTATTATGAATTAGTTACCTTAACTGTTTTAATTATGCGTTACTGTTCATTTAAGTTCCAATTATCACATTTAAATATTAATTTGATGTTTATTAATTTGAAGTAAAATGAAATTGGTCGATTATCAAAAATTATAAAAATTTCTCCTGGGTTCTTAAGTAATTTTGTTTCCTGCAATTCGAGGCTCAATTTAATGTGATAAGTATTAGAAATGTGTTACTAGGATAAAATTTGTGTTATAGTATTACCGATCGACGGTTTTTGAATGAAATTATTATAAAATCTAGCTAATAATTTTCTTTTCGGGAATCGTCGATTAATTAAGACAAAATTAAATATCGTTTTTCTTTAGTTTAGATTTTGTTTTTACCATTTAGCGAATAAATAAGACGACGTAATAAAGTGTGTTCTGTCTGTGACAGTGTACGATACTTCGTGAGTATACACTTGTGATAACTCGAATGTACAAGTTGATTTTTTCCTATTTTTATCGTACATTTTTCATGATGTTGACAAAGAGAATTATTAATGATTTAATAAAGTTAATTTTGAGTTTCATTATAGTGTTATTAAGATGTGATCCTTCCATAAAATGATATTTCTATTAACCCGTCAATTTTTCAAGTGACATTAGTCAAAATGAACAAAAAAGACTTATAATTTGTAATTAAAGAGGTTCACAAAGAAAAACATACATACATGCCAGACGACAGTTTAAAACTGAAGTATTGAACAGTTTTTATCGTTTTATTTGTAAGTACTCGTTTAAAAAATTCATATTTCAGCTCGATGGAAGCTTTGATGCACCTTGTGAAAGGCAATGTAGGAACAGGAATATTTGCAATGGGTGAAGCTGTAAAATCCGCCGGGATAATAGTAGGTCCATTATTCATTTTGATCGTAGCAGTCCTCTGCGTACATTGCATGCATTTACTGGTAATTCGGTGCCTATTACACCTAGTTAATTAATTCAATATTCTAAATTTTTATCTGAACGGTCCTCCTAGACAATAACGGCTAAAAGTTTAAGAGAAAAGCACGGCGTTAGCACCCGCCTGGACTTTGCCAAAACATTGGAATTATCCATTTTGCTCGGCCCACCTCAAGTAGTCAAGTACTCCCTTCATGCAAGAAAGTTGGTCAATTATTGTATCATTATATCCCAAATTGGTTTCTGTTGTGTATATTTTATATTTATAACCGACAACGTTCATCAGGTGAGCAACCAATTATTTATTAACAATATTTCTAAATTCACCATTTCATTTATAGGTAGCAGATTACTACGGGATTGTGATAGATTTACGCACAGTAATGGCCGGACTTTTCGTACCGGTGCTGTTGCCTTGCCTAGTGAGGAATTTAAAATACTTAGTACCGATATCGATAATGGCGAATATATTCATGTTTTTCGGTATTTTCATGGTGATCGGCTACGCAGTGAACGATCTTCCTCCTTTTAGCAAAAGGAGGTACGTGGGCGATTTGTCAATGTTGCCCCTTGTTTTCGGCACCGCCGTATTTTGCTTCGAAGGAATCGCTCTGGTTCTTCCCATTAAGACGCAGATGAGGGTGCCCCATAATTTTTCTCGTCACATGGGAGTTTTAAACGTTGGGATGACGTTCGTAGCGATTCTATTCGTCTTTATGGGGTTTATAGGATACTGGAAATGGGGGGAGGAAGTTTTGGAAAGTGTTACTCTAAATTTACCTCAAGATCAAATGTAAGAATTTTTTATTGCTTTAGATATTTTGAAGTAAATTGTTTTGTTGTTATTTTTAGTTTGTATCAGGTGGTGAAATTATTAATTACTGCAGGAGTATTATTTACGTATTGTTTGCAACTGTTTCTGGCTGTAGAAGTGATGTGGCCCTTTATATTAGAAGGAAAATTGAGGAATAACAGGCATCCAGTAGTTTGGGAATTATTATTTCGATCGAGTCTTGTATTATTGACTTGTAAGTTTAAATATCCACCAAACCAGATTTTATTATAATTTTCTTTGCAGTTATTTTAGCTCAGATTGTCCCATTTCTGTCTATATTTATATCATTTGTGGGTTCATTTTGCGCTGCGAGCCTATGTCTTCTTTTCCCTGTTGTAATGGACCTGCTGATGAATTACGCCGACGAAACGCTCACGACATACGTTATTACTAAAGATTCCATCATTTGTTGCTTTTGTTTGTTAGGTATGTTATCTGGTACTTTCGAAAGTGTTAGAGCGATGATAATCGCTTTTAGCACGTCCGAAGAATTCGTTTACAAAAACGTAAGCTTTTTGATTAGAAATGAGAATGTTGATAGGTAGAATTTATACTAAGATTAATTAATACACTTAATTGAATTAATAACCACTTTAGTTTCGCAAATAAAATCATGATCACAAATGAAACTTTTTACAAATTGGTTGTCTAAAAGTATATCATTGGATAGCCGACGGAATATATTGAAAATCTTTGCTAAAATCATAAAAAAAACAATGTAACATTTGAATATTTTGAGAAAAAACATCAATTGACTACGCGAAACTAATACATTCCTTTACAATAAATACTTATTTACTCGATCTATTTCCAACATTTTTATGTTTTTATAATGTCGTTTATGTTTGACTGTGTTTTGACTGTGAAATTCAGAAATTTTATTATCAAAGCAGTAGCTCTTATTGAAGGTAAGTACAATTTTAGATACACGCAAACTGTTAAGTGGAATGCATTATTTTCACAAACACCTACAACATGTGCTTACTCACTGTTTTTGGTTTTCGTCGATTTTTCTTTAGTCCTTTTGGTTTAGGTGTGGATAAGTTTGTGTCGCGATAGTTAATTTGCATAGACGCATTTGATGGGCCGGCCTCAGTCTTGACTTTCTGCAGTAGATTAATGTATTCATTCATTTTAGTTTCGCTAATTGGCGTTGTTTTCAGATTCTCATGCATTTGAACCCTTTTTCTGTTTCCTAATGGTCTTTTTCCTGCTTTATTCTTAGTAGATTTATTAACAAGGCTGCTTGCTGTATTTCTTATGTCTTCTAATGTTAATGGTGGTCTTGCAGTGGACGATATTTCCTTAGTGTTATTATTCAATTCGTAACTTATTTGAGTTACATTTTCGGTTACACTTTTAGAAAGCAATTGTGTAGCCGTCGTTTCTTTGGATTCTTGAAGAAGCATGTTCGCCTTTTTCTTCTTTTCATAATTATTTATTGCACTTTCAAGGGCGGTAAAATTTAGTGTACTCGGTAATGGTTTTAAATGTATCACCGTCGATTGCTTTAGGTTACCAGTCGTCCCATTTTCCTCTTTATAAGTAACATTAAACGAAGAATTAGGACGGAGTTTAATTCGAATGATTTTGCGATCTTCTTCTGACATTGTGTCATTAATATTAGTATAATTTTCTGTTAATTGATTTACATTAGAGTTAGTAGATTGTTCAACTTCGTTAGTATCCCTTTTACTTCTAATAGTACTAATGTTAGCGTTGTCGTTAGTATTATTAATATTTGTATTTATATCGTTATTGGTTAAACTTGCAATTTCGGTGCAAGTTTCATTGGTAGTAATGCTTATTCTAGTGTGATTGCTGTTATTAGTATTGGCATTATCAAGGACGCTTTCCTTAGAATTGCTTGTAAATTGAGTGCGACTGATGCTGTTTATTTGCTGGTTATTAACATTTTTGTTATCATTTTTGTTGTTCTTCACCAATTTGCCATTCCTATTTTTACCTAGACCAATTTTTCTACGTCTGCCGTATCTTAAAACTTTGCCCTTGTTATCTGTAACAACTAAATTGCTTTGCTGATTTTGAACCCGTTGTCTAAACAATATGTCTCTTGGATTTAGCACCTTTGAATCCTTGGCAATTACTATTGTCTAAAACATAAGTATATCGGTTTTTATTAGTTATATCAGCTGATGCGGGTGGTGCAAGAAATTAATTGTGTGCATTTATACAGTTGTTTCTATTTGTATTTAAAATATAAGTGACTCTACTATTATTTGTTGTGAATCAAACACGCCATGCGTGTTATTGCAAATTTATGTGAGGATGTAAACTCGGTAAAACCGAGTGCAAATAAAAAAAATGTGTTATTGATAAACTATTCAATGTACCTGTGAGTTATTGATGTATTTTTTAGAAAATCTTGTATACGTAAAATAAATTTAGAATATCTAAAAAAGCTATCTAAATTTTAAAAAAATTTATTTTTGTGTATAAAATTCGTACCTTAAAAAATTACACTCTACTGCCAATGAAAATATTTTACATGAAAACAAGAGTATATAAAAAATTATTCTACTACTAATTTGTATTTTTTGCCGCCGTGAGCAGCGTGTTTTTTGCCGTGTTTCTCTGAGTTTTTGTGATGAGTTTTGACGCCCCCTTGTGTAGCGTGGCTTTTGTGATCAGAGTCATGGTGTCCTTTAGCCGATTTGTACGTTTTGCCGCCTGATTTGCCTGAGGAGGAATTCTAAAAAAACGAATGGTTGCTTTCAAATATGGAATGTCTACCCCGAGATTTGAGGGTTGGTGGAAATGGTACGATTTGTAAAGTGTATGTGTTTCATTGTACCTTACGAGCTTTCTTCTGGTCTTTGTTGAAACTGTCCGTGGCATGTTTGGATTTTTTCTTTCCGTATACTTCGTATTCGCCGCTTTTTTCCCCGTTACTGAAGAAGCTGTCGTGTTTTTTCTCTTCATCTTTGTGGAACTTTTCACGAAATCCCTAAAATTTACTCATTTAATATACTTACTAGTACTTACTAACTTTCTTAAAATTAACAAAAGTGATTAATAAATCGAGCACGTTCGCAACGGAAACGATTATTGCTTATTGGGAAATAATCAATAAATAACGTCGGCGCCTGCTGGGTTATAAAACGTACAAAAAAACCTACGTGGTGTAGAACTAAAGTATAGTCCTTTTCAAGATATAGTAGAAAAGAGGCGTGAGAGCTTAGGGATTATAGCAATAAAGTAATGACTTTCCTAATACCAATACAATGGAACGTTGAAGCACTTCGGTCGGGCCGGGTAGTAAACAGTATTTACATTTCCAGGTAAGAACTTAAGAAATGTTATTTAATGAGTGTTTTGCATCGCCGCTTAGCCGCAGCGAACGTACCAAACTTAAAATACGGTTCTGCGTCCTTCGACCGGCGAGTACGGCGTGTACCCTAAACAGCACCGGGTAGTCGTAAACTCATCAGCTTATAAAGTCATTTTCTACTATATCTTGAAAAGGACTATACCTAAAAATAATATTGTACCTTTAAATAATTTCCTTTCTTGTGTTTTTTGCCACTAGCGTAAATTAAACCGGATTTAGCATCGCCTGCGGAGTGTTTGGATGATTTATGCGAATCTTCTGCATGATGAGATGTCTTCTTTCCTTTCTTCTCCTTATGGGAAGATTTGTGCAAATCTTTTGAATCCTGTCCCTTTTTCGAAAACTCTTCATCGTGTTTGGTGGTTTTACCCGACGTTTCTGTCTGTTTTACTTCGACAATTTTCTTTCCTATTAAACTATCTATTTAGATTTGTATCATCGAAAGTGTTATACGTGTACCTTTGTTATCATTGCTACCTTCTTCAGACACTGAAGTTTGGACATGATTCTCTGCGTAAGTTATACTTGCTGCACAAGCAACCAAAACCTGAAACATCAATGAGAATGAAAGAAGACGATTTTTTGGGAAAATTAGTTAAAAAAATAGTCGCAGTGTGTTTATATTTTGTATTGATTTTGAAAAGGCAGTAAATTGCAGTCATAATAAATTCGTAACAACTGATTAACTCGCAAATAAAGTAACACCTGTGTGAACAATTGTGCGATATGTTCGTATCTTATTCGAATCAATTGTTATGCGAACAAAAACAGAAAAACGTGCGACCGCAAATGTTCGAAAGACTTCTTTTACGAACGACCTTTTTAGCATTTTGAAACGTGCTTTTTTTCGATGTGTAATAGTTACCTATTTACGATCTAAAAACCATTTGGCAATTACAAATTTTACTTAATTTTATTTAATTAACCAATTTAACGCAACGGCAACGTTTTTCTGCGGTATAATAAATATTGCAGTAACATTTGTGAAATGCTTCGTGTCATTCAAGTTCATATTCGCACATTATTGAACTTATCGATTTTAATGTTATACTAGACAAAGTCTGCCCTCATTCTACAGTTTACTTTAAATTTATTTTTGGACTATTTGAAGTATCTCATATTCAAAATATAAACACGATTTTTCAGTAAACCTCTGGATTATTATTACAAGTTTTTTATACTACTAAAACTTCATGGCAAACTCTCTGTTTATAAGATTATAAATTTTGATGGCCGCAGAAGATTTTTATCATTAGTATAAAATTATCTGAAACTAATTCATATTATTAAGTTACTTTATTAATATAAAAAACGTCAGAAAGAGCCACAATGTTATTCGTAAACGTGAAACTTGTTAACATCAAAAAAACATTTATACACTCTGGAATTATTAAAACATTACGCATTATTCACTTATCCTAGATAGTATGAATGAACACGCTTGTTTACAGAAATTAACTGTTTACTTACATGCATTTCTATAATCGAAAATAATTGCATAGTGGAATTACAGGAACGGTTTCATTTTGGGTTAATCGAAATTTGGGCAGATTAAAAATAACCGAAAAATACTATTTATATTTCAGAAAAATATCAATAAACTTGTAACGTTTGGTTAACATTCTAGTGGTCGTAAAGAAAACGCTTTCTAAAGATAGAACACAAAAATACTATCATGTTTCTCTTAGTTTGTACATATTTATTATACAGTGGGTGTTAAACAAATTCATTTAATTAAAAAACTACGCGTATAAATAATTTTTCTATAAATTCTACGATGAATTTTCTTGTTACCGCTATCTAAGGTCAAAGAATTGAACAAGTGCAAAGTATACTGCATATTATTAACCGTTATGTAAATTATGCTACTTATTAGTGTATCGTCATTCAATTCCTTATACTGGATTATAAGTTATTTCCTTCGTGAGCACCTATTGATTTTGCAGGTATTGTTTAAATATGGCAGTGCACTTTAACAGTTATGCATAGAAAAAGTATAAGTTTATTCAATAACTGTGAATACAATTAAAAGCTTTACGTAATTAAAAAATCTGCCTATTTTAACGTAAGTGATTTTAAATTTTGATATTTTGCGGAGTCATTGATATTTATTCGATCGTAGGAGTATATTACTAGAAAATAAAAATTAAAAATAGCTGTTTTTGTTTTCATTTCTCAATGTCGTAGATTTATATCAAAATTAAATTTGAAAAACACCTGAGTACTATCGAAGAAGTAACTTAATGTTTCGTAAATAAAATCCTGATTAAAAACGCATTAAGTATTTATTTAAAAATTACCAAACATTGCACTTTGGCATAGATCAAAGTATAAAGATTAAAATTTTCGATTGTAAGTAGTATTTGTCATTTTACAAATCTCAAAAATATTCAGAATATTCTCTAAAAAAGTTCTTTTTTTACTGCATTCGGGAATTTCTCGTACAACGGAATTTAGCTTCAAATAATTTATTGCAATTTTCGAATTGTGTCTCATTGTTGCACATATTTCAGATATTTTCATAAGTCTAATAATGAAAAAATGCGAAGAATGTTTTCGATTGAAGTCGGTTAATTTTAATGTTCCAATAACAAGTAACCTTAAAGAAATAGATATAAGTTATCTACTTTGATTGAAATCAATACGTTTAATTTCGATAATATCGTTAACAGGAAGGTTTAAAAGGATGAAATTTTTAATCTATACTTTACAGAAATTATTATTATAAAAACCCACTAAGATAAGATTCAAGCATCGATAAATTTACAAATAAACCAACTTTTTTGAAGTGTAGGTACCTCCAAATTGTTAGGTATAATTTTCAACAAAATTCCTAACGCATTTCTAAGTTCCGAATCAATGAATGAAAAATAATATTATTATTTAAACAGCTTTAAATTTAAAGCTATTTCAACTCATTAAAAATATTTATATTTAAATTATTATTGAATAAAAAAGACTCACCAAAACGAAACAGATTTTCATAGTTATTCACGATCATACAACACTGGCACTGGCGAGTTTTAAACGCTGCCGTTCATTACTGGTATTCCGATTCTGGGTTAGACGATACTCCTTCTGGTCTGGTAGGCAACTACTCAAGTAGGGGAACAGGTAGGTAAATGGACGCCGTCTAAAACGAGTCTTCAATGCCTTTCAGGAAGGCTGTAATCACATTGAGAACTGTAATGTTACTCTCTAGGTATTTTTCAGAGCGTATTTCGAGGCGTGATGGACTATAGGATTGGGTTCAATACCTGTATAATCTATTTTTTTAATGTTCTGGTACAGTGACGGATGGGTGAATGATTTTATGGGTATATTGGTATGCCGAATTATTGTTATTAATATTTTATAAAAGATCAATGCACTTATTTTGTGATATACTGAGCAACTCAATACTTAGATTAAAATCCACCTATTAGTTTTATTATACTTGATAATTGATTTAATGGAAATTAACTGCTCCAAAACAAACAACTAAACAGATTTGGAATATTTTATCACAAACATAATGAATAAAAATTGTTTATCTATTACAAAAATTAGTAAGTTGTTTAATTAATATTCATGAAAAACTCGATGAAATATATCGAACTTTTTACTTACATAACAGCCAATTTTAAACACTCGAAAGTGTTCACGCTTTCTTTAAGTTGACGAGATGAGAAATTTGCTATGTTTCAACCAGGTCTAACAATAAAATGAGTTCAATTTGAAATATATACCTCGCTACACCGTGCATGAATCACTGGGTTTTGATTCGATCGCTGATTACTTCCTTGATTGGGTATAGTATGCCCGGAATTCAACGAGAAAATCAACGTTGATCAAAATGTAAACGTGCTTTAATAACATTAACTAACTGTTGGTAGAAGGGATAATAATTATTCTACAAAATGGAGTATGCAGTATTATGCAGTAGTATGCAGTAAAGGTTTTTGTTTTCGTATTTTTTTCGGATCTTTTGAAACATTTACCGAATTACGAGAGTCCTATTTTTATACAAAAAATTAACCATGAAATATATGCCGAAACTATATTACTCAAATCATAAATAAAACGATTAATTTTAGTAATTTGTATTTGTAACAATATAACAACAAAAAATTTTGTAAAAATATTTTACAAGAAATTTTGATATCACAACAAATTGACGAAATTTCTTCAGTAAGCACCCGAGAATGCGTCGAATTCTTGCTCGTATTCGGACCTTTCCACCATGTATTTCGGAAGGGCTTCGCCGTGCACCTTACTGTAAACCGGTTTGGTTTCGGCGCTGAAGGCGCCTTCTTCACCACCAACATCGAATTCCGTCGGGGTTTTTATCGTGGGCTCGACTTCCGGCGGCGATTGCTTCTTCTTGTACTTCTTCGGCCTTCTTCTCTTCTCGTTCGTTTGCTTCGCTTCCTCGAACGGCACCTTCTCTTCCAGAGTTTCCGATGCAGCGGCGATCAATAAAGGAACTTCGGATGCTTCGGATGCTTCTTGTTGCTGGGGTTCTTTCGATATTACCTGTTTGTTGTTGGATTCTTCCGTTGGTGCATCGTCGACGAGTTTCTTGATGCCTTTCAATTCGTGGTAGGCGACGTGCGACGATTTCGGCCTAGATTCCTGAATGAACATGCATTCCTCGTGTTGAATGTTATTCTGATCGACGCACAGGAAGCACGTCATGCCGTTTTTCTCGGATTTCTTGCACTTGGATCTGTCTTTTTTGGTGAACTCGGCCAGGACTTCCTCGACGTTATGTTTCGTAGATTCTGGGATTTGGTAATCTTCGTTGGCTTCGTCGCGTTTCGATTCCTCTTTGGTGTATTCGGGGAATAATTTGTAGTGGTAGTCTTCGTAGTCTTTGACTTCCTCGTCTTCTTCCTCTTCCTTTTTATTATCGTCCTTCGATTCGTTTATCACGCTTTCGGCGAAGTAGTTTGGAATTTCGTATTTGTCGTTTAAGAAATTTTGTTGGCTTTTCTTCCGGTTTTTCTCGTAGGTTTCGTAATGTAACGGGTCGTCGTCGTTATCGTTATCGCGCTTTCTCGGTTTCCTTGAGTTTTGCTTTATTTGCCCGTCGTAATCTTCAGTTGGTTCGAATTCTTTAGTGGGCAACTTTGTATCCGGTTCAGGCTGGGTAGTCTCAACTTTTAAATCCGATTTAGGCGCTGCAGCAGCTTGTGGTTTCACTTTGCTTTCCTCCGGTTCATCGTCGCTATCGTATTTTTTTTCTTTCACATAGGCGTACTTCTTCTCCTGCGGTTGGGAGGTGTACGAGCATTGCTCGTAATTGGCGCCGGTTTTTGGATTCCTGCAAACAGTGCAAGTCGAACCATCTTTATCGACTTGTTTGCAATTCTGCGGATTCTTCTTCAGTTCTTCGGATTGTTGTTCGGAGAAGCTCACCTCGGACGGGCTGTGCTCGTACGATTCCGGTTCGTAGTTGAAGCCTGCGCTGTAGTCTTCTGGAATGCTCGGTTCGTCGTAGGCTTTTCTGGATCGCTCCCTGATCGTGTGGTAAGGATCTGTTTTCTTGTTTACGTACCGCCTGAATCGGAAATGTCCTTCTTTCGCCGGAGCGGAGTATCTTTCGGATGCACTGGAGTAGTAATCGACTGGCTCCTTCTCAGCGCTGTAAGAGCATTGGGTGTATTTTGAGTTGGTGTCATCATTTACGCAAACGAAGCAGTTCATTCCCTTGGAATCACCGCCTTCTACTTTCCTGCAGTTGTGGTCTTTAAGATGGCTGGGAACGTTTTCTGACGGTTGAGATTCGAGGATTGGGTTATTTTTCTTTATGTAGTTTGGATTGAAAGGTTTTATGTTTTGAGTGTCTATGTATTTTCCGGGTAAGAGGCGAGACGCTTGCACTATTGGTTGGAAACTGAATTTTTGATAAGGTGTTAGTTTGGGTTGGGCACCGGTAAGACCTTGTGCCAAAGGATATTGGGATATAGTAGAGCTGGATTTTCCAATGTTGTAATCAACGAAAGGTTTAGAATTCCTCAATAATTCCAAACCGTATTTGTCGTTAGGGTTGCTATCGCCGGATTCGACGTGTTCATCATCTTTATCCCCATCTTCTACTGCTACTTCGTCTTCATCGTTCGATTTATTGGGCTTGTTCGGCCTGGGTGGGATTCTTTCGACTTGGTCTGGGCCGACTGTGTTGACTTCTGCGAAACTTTTAACGATTGGTAACGCGTGGGATATGTAACTGGGTCCGGGTTTGATGTAGTCTTCCTTTTCTTGGCTTTGAGATTTCTGTGCTTCTTCAAAGAAATCCCTCAAAGGAGCGCTCAAATGATGGTTCGTGTTCTGCTGTATTGGAGTAAAATACGGCAAAGGTTGGGTCTGTTGTACTTGCGGTACGAAATTCAGTGGTGGTACGGTTAAGATTTTCTCGGTTTTCTTGGTGCCTGCAAATTCTGAAATAACTTGGGTTAGGTATTTTGGGGTTTAGATTTGTTGTTGGGGACTCACCGACGGGCAATTGTGAAAAAGCACCTGAAAATTCGGACGCTCCGAAGCCGGATAAAGGAAGGCTTTGGGCAGGTCCATCGACTGAAAAGTATTTGGAGTAATCCGGATGACCATGCTCCTCTGCTTCGTTGTATTCAGAAGTTTCTCCTGAATCATCATAACCGTACTCATCTTGAGCGTACGAATTACGAACCACCAGTATTATGAGTATCTGTAATAAAAATATTCAGGCGTGATAAAGCGAAATAATTATACTTTGTAATTTGTAGACTCTTTTTTGTTACCATTCAAAAACATGTATCAAACGCACTTTCTCCATTCAAAATTTAATAGATTTTTTATAAACAATTTTTTGATAAAAACGGTCACTAACCTCAAGTGAAATGCTTCTAAAAAGAAGCATTTTGTACTCCTCTTGATCACAAATTGCAACGAAATTAATTTTTAGGAATGGTCTAGGCGTTTATATAAAGTGTTCCCACTACAGATGTTAAATAATACAACGTAACTTGAAAGCCGATTGTTTCGGTTTAAAATCAGTATTTCTTAAAAACACGGACCATTCAACCGGTAATGATTGAATAGGCTCCTTGAAGCAGAAAAAGTCCTTTTTTTCCGATAGTTGTTTTATTGATGAACGCATCGATGACTTTCCCGATGCATAGACAAAACCCTGTTGTTTGGCAATTATTTTTCACGTTGGATAATTCGTTGGTCAATCGCGCAAATTGGTTCATTTTCTCATCATCAAGTAAATTGCAATTAAAACCAATATTCCACTTTTCGCTAATTTTGCGGTTAAAAAGTTCGTTGTATAAGAAATTTTAATTGCCGTGTGATTGGCCGAACATTGCAAACTGTTTATTTGCTATTATTTTTATTCTTTGCGTTTCTATTAAATGAAAAGAAATTTTAAGGAAGAATGCTAGAATACGAAGGCTTTTTGGGAAAAATAAATAATGTACCTACCATCTGATTTGTTTCAATGTTTGTTAATCATTACTTGTATATGTATAAAAAAGCCTGGAATTCATCGGCACGTATTAGGTGTGTTTATTGATTAAAATAATATACATGAACAAGATTAATAGCAGTGTTCCTATTAAAATTATAAATTACATTCTTCTATTTTTGATTGAAAATATGTTATTTTCATGTAATAAAAAATAATCAAATTGAGGATTTATTTATTGTTAGATTTGTTCCTGCTTTAATTGGCAATCTGTTATATAACATTGTAGTTTTTATTTGCATTGTTATTTAGAAATGTTGATTTTTTCTGCGGTAAGAGTGGTCTGAGTCGATTTGTCTTAGGAAATTGTAGCAATGCAATTTAGTCTAGGCCATTGATCTTTGGGTTATCCATAAATACGTATAGGTTGTACATCAAGAGCTTTTACTTGTTCTATACTATTAAGGTGGCTGTTGTTTATATGTATAAAAGGCTAAAGGATCAACTTATCTCAGCCTATCAGCGCCGCACTACATATAAATCGCGGTTGTGAGACGACAGTTCAAGCTGTCAAAACTTCAAAAATTATTTTTTGACATTTTTTGGGATTTTTTTAAGCGGGAAATTCAAATATTGCAGAAAATTTGAACACATTGTATAAAAATGTCACATTTTTAACCAATAAACCGACACAACAGAAATGTTAGGTCATTTCTTCTGTCAAAAAAATTGTCAAACGGTGGCCATGTTTGAAATTTTGCTAGCTATCTTTTTCTATCTTATAGGCCTAATTGATTGCGCTACTTATAGTATATAGGGACTTTACGTGATCCTTTTCAACATCGCCGCCTAACGGCCGTTTTAGGGACCCTGTTTTATCATCAAATAAACGGGACACTTTTTCGATTTCACAATCGTAGTATATTCTGTGAAAAAATGTACATATCTAAGCATCTATGAATTCTCTTGGTATTTGTAGAAATATTTTTTTATGTTGCTGAAATAACTGAGATATTCCATTCGTTTTTTTGTTGTTTTTTAGCCTTTTGAAAAATATCAGACTCGAAAGTCCATTCATCTTTCGAATATTTGTGGATTTATCCTACTATTTCCACTTGTAATCTCTTCAGATATTGAAATGTAAATAAAAAATAAAAATTATTGAAATTTATCAATGATGCGAGTTGCCCATTATTTCTTGATGGCTTCTTATTGGGGTGAAAGAAAGATGGTGTATACTAAATTGAATTTATTTTTCTAAATATAAACTGATACTTATAAGTAAAAGAGAATGTGACAGGTTTGGTTTGAGGGCAAGACGGGGCCTTTGTAGTGTGGGCCTATCACATTTTTAAAACAATACAAGACTTCGAATACCTTAACAGCTTTGATAAGATTGCCGTCTCTTTGGTATATTATTACACATTTTACAAAGGTGAGAATTACAATTTTGGTCAATGAATTTAGAAATTTACATTTTTTTGTTTTCATTAATATTCAAACAGCTTTAACATTTCCTTACATTTTATTTCTAGTTATTTGCTAATCAGTGGATCGAAATAAGTTGTACTTAAACATTTTCGGTGTGTTATAATCAAATAAATTCTATAATATGTAAGGAAATTTACAAAAAAATATTACAAAAAAATAATATTAATGAATTTAAGTACGTTTTGGTGACTAGTAGATTTTTATCGAGAAATTTGAGGCGAATTTACAATTGACGTGCCATTAAAAAAATCTAAATAACAAAAAAAAAAAATATGTTTCCAATAATCTGAAATGAATTACATTTATTTGTGTCAAATTCTCATTTCATTTCAAACTATCGTTGATATGATAACGTGCGCTTATAAATTAAAATCTAATAAAACGTATCTTTGGTGTATCTTAGTCACTAAAATATAATAAAATAAAATATACTATAGACAATAAAAACACAGTAAAAATTAAGGTGTAAATAAATAACATAGATTCTTCGTAGTATTCTGAGACCAATGTATACTTTACAATAATTATTTGCATGGGATTTTTTTATTTCACCTAAAAACACAAGTAGTTATACAAAAAAAAAACAAATACTACAAGTATCTTATCTACACACATTCAATATTCGTTCAGACGATTTAAATTCGCATTTGCACTTATTATTCTCCGACGAAAAGTCCACTTTATTCAAAATTACATAATCAAAAGAAAATCAGTGCTTCATTGTGCTTAAACATCTACTCCAAACGCAAAAAATTCACATAATTACATTAGACTTTCAAACACATTAACTCATTAAAGCATCTCTAGAGATTTATGCGCTTCAAAGAGTTAAATACAAAATCCGTTAAATAAACAAATCGGTTTGATTTTGAACAAATCGAACTTTTCATTAATATTACATAGTAAATCTAACGATCTGGCGGCGAATGTTTCAGGCCAGATTCAGGTCGTGGGCGAAGATGTTTTCTGTTTTCAGGCAGGCGCTGCCGCTTTCAGTCGGCGAATTGGCCGAAGCGAGTGAATTCGCTCTGGTCGCCGCCAGAGGGCTCCGGCTGCTTTGGTCTGTGTTCGAATTGACGCAACCCAGTTGCGATTCATTGCTGTTGATTCCATTGGCGCTAATATCGTTGTTATAGTAGTATGGATTATCTAAAACGAAAAATTTATTTAGAGGCAGTACACTCGGGATTGGTTCAGTAGCAGACATTGGGACGCGATTCGAAATCTAATAAATATCATTTTTCCAAATTTATGACTACAATACTCACTGTTTACTTACTAAGTAACCCGCTAGACGCACTACCATATCCGTACGTTCCGTACGCCGCCCCGTACTGGCTGTAAGCTGTACTGTAAGCGTAATCAGTCCCTGGTACCATAGTGGTGCCCGCTGAAAACCAAAACAAAAATACACTCAACAACAATACACCGCCAGCAATAGAAATCGAAATAGAGTAGAGAGAGTGTTCGGAAGAGTGAGCTCGGATCGACCTGGTTTTACCTGTGGTGGAGTACCCGAAATTCGGTAACATGGTGGCGTAGTGTTGCGATGCTCCGTTGGAAGGCTGGAGCACCGTCAGCGCAGCAGGATCGGGCGATCCCGTGTGTGAGGCGGGCTGACTTCCGGGTTCGGCGGGCAACGCGAGCGGTAGCCCAGGAGATGACCCGTCTACCGTCGGGCCCAAACCGACAACGCCACTGTACGGCGAACTAGTTTCAGCTACGCATGCAATAACAAAAAAAAAACGAAAATTAGCACACCAAAAAAAACGTAAAAATCATGCTGATAACGTTAATGGCGTGGAAAATATCGGATATGTAATAATTAATTACGGTTCAAAATTTCGTTTTCAAGATCGTATGTTATTAGCGTAGCATTTTTTTGCAACGATTGTAATGCAAATTCAAGCAAAACAAAGCGACCTGGGAATATGGGAATGAATCGAGGGGCAGGATAGTTGATAACTAATGAGATGGTATCTACTTTAATTAGCGGATTCAATGCCAAATGATGTAAGCAAAAACAATACGGTAGAACAATAGCGACATGTGAATACATGCAAAAATAGATAAAGGACATGCAAATATCAAATACTACAGAAGCTTGCCGTGTCTGGGTGCTACAGCTATTCACCGAAATTTCATCTTTATAATAAAACTTAATAAATATTCATATTGGTGCAATCTAAAAGAACCCTTAAGCCAATCCACCCCTCTACACATGTTGTGCACGCCTTCCTCATCGATACTCACCGGAATGATAAGGCGATATCGAATGATCCATTATCCTAGCAGTTTCGATTTTCATTTCGTGCATTGTTATTGGCGCCAGAGGTGTTAACGAATTCGTACCTAACAGTTGCCTTTTATTAATATAACACAAGAAACGAGTAAATTCGAGTACCTCCACCACATTATCCAATCTAATCTGAGTGCAAATTTCCACCTAATGTGTTGCATATTAATCGTGTAGGTGTAAACAGGAAGATTCGTGGTAATTTTTTGTTATAATAGAACACTACTCCGAAACAACTAGTCTACGGTAGGGAACGTGGAAGAAAGAAAATACTTATTCATACCTAAGGAACCGGCTAAGGGCGGCGTGTAGAGGTTCTGCGACGTGGCCTGGCTCATCGTATTTATCGTATCGTAGATGTCGGAAGCGGAACTGACGTTATTAACCCCGCCGAATCCCGAATGCGTATCGTAATAGCCCGATTGTCCCGTCGTCGTTCCCGCGCCGCCCAATTCGGACAGCAATTTGTGCTCGTCTTTGATGTTCCACTTGCTCGGAGTCCATAGCTACAAAACATATTCAAACCGAACCTTAGTCTATGGAGGTAAAACAGAGCAATACATAATTCAGCGACACTCACAGAATTAACTATGCACGGAGAAGAGGATTGTGATAATGTTGCAACAAAAGTATAATTATATGAAGGAATGAAAAGACTCTAAAATAGAAAGTAGAAGTTATAAAAATTCCAAAAATACTTGTAAATATTATTGGATAGTTATTTTAGAAGACGAAATCGATGTTTTATTACTATTTGATTGAAACAAATTAGCATTAAATGGAATAGTACATGAAATTAAGAAAGCACAAAACACTATTTCGTGTATAAAGAATTGGTTATAATTAAGCAAGTTCCACAATCAAAACTGGTTTAAATGATAGTTGTTAAAGAAATTCACGAAATTAATTCAGTAATATCTACCGTTCGGTAGTAGTTATTTGATTCAATCAACGAGGAGGACACTAAAATATAGAGGTTAGTGAAATTTATGGCCGACAATAACCGCGTACTGCATGGGATAAATTAGATTTCATCAAAGATACATCCAGTAATCAACTGAAATTTATGAAAGCTGGTGTAATTGTGAAACCCACACCGTTAGCATCGACGGCAGATTGTAAATAAACTGTTTCCGTAAACAGAAGATTCGATTAGATGTTACATTTAGAGCAATTAACTTACATTTGAATAAAGCTGGTCGCCATTATACTGCGCTCTCTGTCGTTTGAAATCGTCTTCCGGGTGTCCGTTTATGTCCTTATTTTCATCTAAAACAAAACCAATATATACGTTTTAATTACGAAATCAATTTCTCCACGAACATTATCGATTTATCGGATTCGCTTTGCAGAAAAGACGGCAACAAAATTGTATCTAAACGGTCGAATGAAAATTTACAACAGCCTTCTCCCCGTTTCATCGAACCCAATTATAAATCGAATATCCAGCTAATGAAATTAGCTCGCACACCACACAATAGTATCATTATTATTAACTCAAAATAAATTCGAAAACATAATTGGAAATCCTATATTCAACATAAATGTTAATAAACACTTTTGTCACACGGCGAATTTAATAGAGAATTCTCTATTAATTTCAGCTAGGCCGGCTCATTCAAATTCTTGTTATTGAAACAATACGCATTGTGGCTTGAATCTAAAATACCAAGTAAATAACATTTCAGCCGCGATACAATTTTAATTCGCCCACGTTTGTGGCCTTCTATCTCGTTCTATCATTCCAATGGCGCAGTCCGATAGGATCGGATATTAATATCAAATACTCTACTTTTAAAAATTCTACCACTTATTTTATATTAACACAATAAATATAGGTACATTGTGCATACATCGCAAATCTAGTTGCATATTTAAAGAGTTCGAATTAATTCATAATTTAATTTTAATAATACAAAACAATAATTAAGTTAATAATTTACGAGTGATAATGATTTTTTTCTTTGCAAATTTCTTTTGCGAAAAATAGAAACAGAAATAAGGCACGCCAATGAGGAAGTCAACCCTCCGCAATTCGATGTCCATTTTGCCGGAGTGAAGTGAACAAGGGAAAATGGTGAACACAATTAAATAGGTTGTGTTGAGATAATGAAAAGAGCGCTGTCCACTCCAGTTAAATCTTTTATAAAGTTGTTCCTCCGGTCCTTTGTGAATATGTTTTCCATCGGGATACCTGATACTCGATTTGCGGAAGTTTTAATTCCTAAACGTAACGAGAATCGTTCAGGGCAGGCGGGAGGGCGATTAAAAAAATTGTTGAATTGATAGGATTGTTCGGTGTGTTTTAATTGTTTTATGGGGTAGGTAAGTGACGAAACTGGGGAATTGGAAGTTTACAATTATTGGATTATTGAAGTTGTATAAGAAAAAGCTAGCAAAAAGCGTTGTTAATAGCGTAGTTAAACAAGAAGCAATTTTCCGGTTGAAAAAAGCGGACGAATATTTTCCGTTAACAGTCTGCGATATTCCCGAAGTTTCGGTCTGGTAATTAATGTCAAGAGTAAACAATCTAGGTCTAGGTTTAGTTGGCGTGTAATATCTATAGACCAAATCCTGTGTCGCTACTTCATAATCTGTGAATCAATTAATCACTGAACAATAATGTCACGAGATGACTGATGGTTAATCACTAATGTAGTAACTATTGTAACAGGATTACGGTCCAGTGGCTATGGTACAGGAGGGATTGCGTAAATCTAAGGTTTCCAGAAGTTCGGTTGGAAGCTCGACAATTCAGAGTCGGATTTAGAAACAATGAGCGAATAAATCGCCTCGCAAACTTTCGTTTTACACTCCTTATATTTAAAACGAGCCTCGTATAACTAGATTGAGTGCTCAGTTGAAATAATAAACACGAACTTCTTAAGGTCCGGATACAACCCGAATAATGATGAAATAAATTAGCAGGTAAGGAAACAATCAAAATTTACAACCGCTTTTAATTGCCGTTGGCGATGTCTCAAGACAAAGGTCTCTAGCTTTATTTCTGTTAGCATGGACATTAAGAACGAAGGAAGTCCACTGCGAATTGCGAAACTAGATTCCTTCCGGTCAGAAATGATTTGTTGAATTTCTTGTTGAAATCATGGAGTGTGGATACCGCAAAATAAGAGCAGGGAAGTCATTATAATTCAAAATTTTGAGTGTGTACTCGAAGAAAAAAATCTAATTTTTAGCTGTATGTTCAAATAAATATTCTTTCCGTCGTTAAAATCTTTGTTTTGTAGCATTATTTTTTGTAAAGATATTATCTGACTTATTCCTATCGAGAAACGTTGAGTTCACCAGCTTTTTTTTCCAATTCCGTTAGCTATTTGGACTTTTCTCGCTCTTTCTTTGGTCGTAGAGAAACAATCGTTAATGCACCAAAGTAATCGACTCTTCCTTTTTTCGAATTTGCGGTCTCCGCAAAACCGTTAGTTCATTTGTATATTATCCACTGCTTATAGATATCACAGAAGCAGAATAATTTACATTGATTGTAGCACAAAAATCTAAACTATTGTTAGTTGTGCAAAAAAATGAGCTATTACAAATAGGCAATCGAAGTAGGAAGTATTAAATAAACAGTTCTTCGACTTATAAATCCTAATTTTATCATCGTTAAGTTCGGAAGGAATACTTTCATTCTCGTTACTTGTTATTTTGCTGAAATCAAACGGTTCGTTAGAATTTGTCTCGCTAATAGTGCCGCTGGTGTTAATTTGGTAACGTGAACGCGCGTTCCACAACAGTATTTCACTGTCTTCTTGCATCGCGTGACGTTGGCAACATCCTCAGAAATAATGTCGGGCATTGAGTAAATCATACCGCGTACCTGCTTTTCGAATTCATCACGGTTTTTTCAGCGCCGCGATTATTTTTATAATGCTCGCGTATTATTAGATCGGGCGTGGATAAACGAATTAAACGCAAGAATATCGAATGCAGTGGATCATACGAGTGGAAGTTTTCAGAAAAGCCAATAAGCGCTATAAATTTGGTTGACTGTATCCGACAGGGGCGATGTTATTGCGATTATATTGACTGGTCCGTGGGGAACTTGAAGGGTACATTTGAAATAAATCGACTAGTGTTGCAGTGAAGTCACGTATTGTTATACCAGCGATGAACGTTCCTTCGTTTCTGCTCCCTTTGATTCATATTCAATTCCGTTTAAAGAATTGTTATTTGAACAGCGATGCTATTCTGACCGGATAATCGAGACTGTCTTGCGTAATTGCATCTCTTAATCGTCAATTATCATTTTGTACCGAACGTCTGGTGTAATTCTAAACTATACGCGCTCGTTACGAATTAATTAAATTCATTAACAAATCTCGTCCGAGGTAAACAAGCGAGCAAACAAATGATGTTTTGCTTGACTTACTGGCGAAATAAATAACAGGAAGTGCTAAGGTATTTGACATCGTTACCACGAACCACGAATTAAATCATTTTACACGAAATTGGGCAATTCAATGAAAATCGTACCAAATTATGCGAATCTAAAATATGCAAAAGCACTTAATTAATCGAATAATGCCGCTACGAATTCGTTATTTCAATTATTTCATCGTAACAAAAGTAAAAAAAAACATGAGCATTATGAAGAGGATAAACGACAGTTAATATATCAAATACGGAAACGATAGAATCTAATCAACCGAAATCCGATACCCGAGGAAGAATCAAATGAGTGGGGTAAGGACTCTTAACAATAAATTATCCCCCTAAATTGCAGAATGAAATAGTCAAAATATAAATTTATAAATCTCACGGTCCGTGCGCAGGGCATAGGAGTCGGACCCATGGCTGCTCACCATGCGTGAAGAGCCGTAATAATACGTGTGTGTTCGCGACTTGTATTATATCAAGAAGTATCAAACTGTAATCCGTTTGATATATGGAGTGTCCGTGTCCACGTTCACATCTGAATGGAAAGGTCAATTTTAAATAACTGATATTATCCCCGAGCGTTTCCTGCAGTCCGCATTGTCAACGATATATTACGGGCGAAAAATCACGCGACTACTCGACCAAGCAGTAACCGTAAGATGTCTTTTTTTTAATTCGAACCGACGATGGCGCGTCCGAAGAAAATCCACGGGAAATCGAAGCGACTCGACATCCGCGATTAGGAAATCCACAACGCTATATCGCGTTTAGCGTAAATCGCATCAGCGTGAAACAAGTGGAGTGCGGCCTTCCGCCTCCTCTCTGACCAATCAGCGCCGGTGTCGGATTATGAAGACATCACACGCGTTGCTACGCGACCGCGAAACCCCCCAAACGGCAGCCACCCCGAATGAACCGCGTCGCCAAACCCCCCGAAAAACCTTCGAAACCCCGATCGTGCATATGTTTACGCAATACTTCGCCATATCACGGAAAATGCCGCCGCTCTCCGGGGAAATTTAAATATTCCTTTCTTCGGAACAACCTCCGGTTGATTACCGGCCTCGGCGACCGACTGGTTATGCTTTTTATATACTTTTTTTATCTCGCTTGAAATTTGTACCTTCTTGTCCTTTCCATCCTTATGACATTCTCTTGTCCTTTTGTCCAGATCTCCATTATCCTTCTATACTCATCTAGTCTGATGAATATAGAGCCCTGATGTCCATAAATATGTTTTTAGTATATCTCAATATGCTTTCTCTTCTCATGATCAGTAACCAGAGAAGAGGCCTCCTTTTTATAGATGATCTTTCATACGGCTCTGTATAGGTTCTTTGTTCTATGAATCTTCCTTTATATTGTACACATTGATAGATAAAAAGAGGAATATAGAAATAAGAGAGGAATAAAGGATGAACAACGAAAGAATTGCTAAATCATCAGAGATGGAAGAACCGAGACCTGCAGACAAACAGGAAGACGAAGACGAAACAAGCGATGGAAGGACTCATAGATATCACATTAAAGATTTCACTTAATGAGCATAAAGCTGTCTATAAAGCTGCTAAAGTTGTTGCTCAAGGTTGAGTCATCGGTAATTGAAGGTGTTACAATAATTCTAGTGAATCTTTGAAAGGTGTTACAATAATTTTAGTGAATTTGGGTACTTACCATGGTCGTCTATCCTCTTCCTCTTGATGCTGTTGCCGTTGGGGTCGTGTTGTATGCCTAAGATTCCATTAATGCTATAAGCCCCCGACCTGGGTTCGTTCAGTTGGGTGGCGGGCGCGTGCGCGATCACAGATACAGGTCCTCCGCTGACTGACGAGGCGGCGTTGCTAGTCGCTATTTGGTGCGCATGTTTCGCTTTCTCGGCAGCCTTGTTCCTTACGATCCTGCAACAACGGAAGCGGGTCGATTAACGAACGCGCGGGCCTGACTTTTTATTTTGGTGACGAATTGCTTATAATCCATTTGGGCCATTAGCTTAAGTAAAACGCGTATGTGAATGAAGGACACGTGTCTGTGCACGTGCGGGTGGCCCCAACACGCGTGTACGCGGGACTAACACTTCGTTTCGAAGTTATTTATCTATGATCTTTAATAAATTAGAGGATTTCGGTTTTAATTGAATGATACTCGAAATTTGGTAAAAATAATCCTGACTCGTTGGTAACGAATAGGATATACAATTTGAAATGTGAAAACGCAATAATTCCAGTTGTCTGGCAGCTCAAGTTCTAAATCACAATCAGCTCGAAACCAATCAATTCTTCCTACGATTGCGGACTATGCTCAACCTAAATCATTTGAATTAATAATTAACTTGATATGCTGACAGAGTGCGCTGCTCTACGATCGCAAATTACCTTTCAAATGGTTAGATAGTTACGAATTTACTGTCATTTCATTGGAGCGTGCGTAAAATAACAACCTATAAAATTAGCAACTTAAAAGGAAATATTGACTTTTTCTTATTTATTCAGTAGAAGCCACCGCAAACAAACAGTTCTCGTTATTTCGCTATCGGTTACAATTTTAATCCTCGAATTATCTCGAAATTACGCTCCGAAGATGAGGGTACACAATTCCCCGAGTCGGCTTTTTCCAACAAATCTAACGACGATACAATAGAGGGCAGACAATGGTTGACACTTTCAATACAGCAAATATTTGCCGGAACATCCGTCTCTATCCATTTCGCCGTTGCTCGCATAAGAACGTCCTTTGCCTCGACAGCAGCTGTCCGTGTCATTGTCGAAAGTTGTTATGTTACATCTATTAAAATAGACTTTCGTATTGTACCTGAAGTGGTGTAGTTCATTAAAATATTTATGCGATGCCGCAGGGGACGCGTTCATGTGAGATGGGGATTTCGAGGCAGAGGCAGTTTCGAAAATCGATTTTTGACTACTTGTGCGAATATTTTCGAAAAACCACAGGTATTCAACAATGTGCCACAGTGAGATGAAATAGCAATCAATTTTATCAAACCGGCTTATTAAATTAATCGCCAACCCAACCTATGAAATGAATTGTTGGTTGCAAAAATGCTCATATTAATGAATTAGGTATTGAAAACAATGTAAGTCATGTCGTATGCATAAGTGAATTTAATTCAAATATTTATGATATCCTACCTCCGGTTGTATGTTATATGGGCGTGTAGAGAATTGATTAATAATATTGGTCGAGTGCGGAATGATTTTGGTATTTGCTTTATAGAAATTATAACTGTATTTTAGGTAGATACTCTTGCACACGAGTAGGTAGAAATCATAAATTTATATCTAAAATAAAGCGTTATTCAAAGCGTATAAATTTTCTGGTTCCCTATATGAAAACAAAGCCACCGATTTACCCTTATCACGTCGACGTTGGTCTATTAAGCGTCGGCGTCAAAGTTTCAGAATCTCCTCCGAAATTACCGGGACCTGATATATATCTCCATCAAAAGCACAAGCCTGTACACAACAAAATAACCATATTTGCCTCAGCGAGTGCTTATAGTTCTGCCCGCAAATATAATTTGCGGAACAATTACAGGAGCACAGGAAAGCCGCAGTTAAGTGGCCGTACCGGGGCCATCGGACCAGGCGATTAGTCCTCGCCGAAATCCGGGCCGCACGAACGCCGGCATGACGAACGTCGAGCTGTTCCGCAAAGCTTTCTGCCGCCGTATTGCCAAAGCACAAAGCTCTGGATGCCGTAATCTAATTTGCAATGAGACTTATTAGTTTGAGTTGCGGCTTTCGCGTTTGTTTATAAAGTAGCTCATTGATGTTATGATTAATGCCGCTACAAAGGGAATTTTTTTGCTTCTCTCTGTGATGCAAATTCGCATTTACATATATTTTGAGTCCATTTGGAAAAGCTACATCACGTATACCGTGTATACCTATACATATACATATTATTATTAACGTAGTCGTTGAATTAATAAGGACTTGAATTCTTATATAAATCCATATTGTACCTTCGTAGATATTAACACACTAATTTATTAATCTTTTAAGCACAGTAATTAATAAAGTTTACTGTTTTATTTAGTGATTATTAGATGATCTTACTGCAAAAATCAAATACGAGTACATGTGAAATTTTCTAACAATAATACTTGTAGAAAAATTATAGTATAGGTAATTAATAATATTCTCTGATGGAATTATTAAATTTTACATCTATTTGTACAGTATAATTTTTAAATCTAATGATAATCGTAAATATAGCATACTATAGGGCATCAAACGAGCTAATTCTAAAAACATTAAGCTTTATTGTGCAACAGTTAAATTCGCTCGGAATTGAAGTATACACATTCTAACTTTTATTAAGTTAGCAGTAATCCATTTTCAAATGACCAATGAAAAGTTTAATGACAATATAATAACAACAATATAAAAATAAAACCCGGCCGTAAAGTACGTAAGTATACATTAAGTAGGTTATATTGTTGTTATGTGAGAATTTGCAGTAAAAATATATTTTATTAGTGCCGTTATTTTAACGTTTTACGTTTTATAGTTGATAAATTTATGAATATAGAAGTCACAAGTTAACGAATGCTTCGGTAATTAAATTAAAGTAAAATTGATTTATACGATAATCATTTATTAATAGATGCAAATGTTTTTTTTTATTAAATGTCATTCATTTCAGAGGATAAATTTTATTACACCATATAAAATGAGTATAGAAATGAAAAATTAGCAAATAGAAAGGCTGATGAATTTATTAAATTTCACTGTAAATCTATAAAATCAGTTGTCATAAATAAATAAACTAAATAATATTTTCCTATATGATTTGAGCTATGTATGAGAATAAATAGTAAGTAATTCATAAGAAGGTTTCACTTTTTGAGTCCGATATAAATTGCTCCACAAAAGTTAAAGAAGTTCGCAAATTTTGCGATTATTTTAAAAATTAAAGACTTTTTGATCACCAAATTTTCAAATATGCGAAATTAAATGTTTTCTCTCATACCTGAGTGGATTTTTTGTCCCTACCACTACAACTCATACTAAATTTGGCGATTAAAAAACCTGCAACTTTTAAATTAATCTCAATATTTGTAAACTTTCTTAACTATTGTGGAGCAGTATATTTTGTACGTGTGCTAAATTCTGACCCAGTAATTTGGGGCGACAGCCAGTAGGAAGCGAAACAATTCTACGTCGAAAAGTTAAATCGCGTAGAAACAAAGCGGCCACAACATAAACAACGAAAAGAACAATTTCGTGTTATTATCACAAAAGCTGTTGCGGAGGCACAAAAGCTTCGAGCCGTTCGTTCGGGCGTGCTTGAAAGCTTAGCGCAGTAAAACGGGTAGCGCATTAAAGCTCCTTCATTGAGCTTCGGATTATGGCTGTTCGTCCTATAGCGGGTTCGTGGCTAACGTTGATGCACTTTTATACTTCCTTTACGAGCGGCCATCTTACGCTCGAGCTTTTATTGAACCAGTTTGATTGCGCTTTCAACTCGGCTTTTTTACGTGCCTACTTTCTCGATAGAAAAATTAATACGGATTTTCCGTATAGACGAATTGTTTAAACGTTATCATTTCGGTAATATATTACAGAGTAATTATGATTCTCACAACTACCGACAAGTATTTGCTTATCACTTAGTCAGGCGTGTAATAAGCACACAACAACTGTTCGATTATAAACAGATTCAAGTGGTTTATTCCTATCAACTTTCCACGTTATTGTTGCTGATTGTTGGAAAGTTATTTCGTAATTTACAGATCCATATGGAACGATTTGATAATGGTTATTAAATGCTTATTTCGATAAGCCATACTAAATTACGAAAAAAATATATTCCACAACGATAATTCGGCGACTTCGTTTTTTGATTTCCCACATTTTTTTTTACTTAAACAAATGTCCCATGAATAATTCGAGAAATATCAAAACACGGAGTCACGTGGCCGAAGATTTGCAACATCACTCACGGACACGTGCCAGCGCTAAAACATAAAATGATCTCCCCCGAACGCTCTATAAGCAACCACTTTTATCAACCATGAACACGCAATTTATAAGTTCGCATGGATAATGCACTGCAATTTTAATCGAAAAATTGCGCCTATTACAGCCGGGATATTAATAAGAATTTGTAATTTTTTTCACCCCTAAATTCACAATTGTAACTCAATAAAAACCGCAATTTATTTGTAAATTATACAATAATACACTACTAATTTCCAATAAATATACCGCTTTTTAACGTTTCCGCAAACTCAATTTCTTCCCTTTAAATTAGTTTCGAAATATGCACGCCCTTCGAAAAATTGAATCCGACCAATTTTCAAATCTCAGTGCAATCGTTCAAAGTAAAATGAGCTTATATCGCTTCTAAGTATAATAGTGCTTTTTGAAGGGGACGCGCTACAAAAGCACAACCATATACAGCATCCCAGTTTGGCCCTTGGGACGTTCAATGGAATTGATTGTTCTTACGATTTTACCCCCGTAGGGACGCGATTAACGACCTGAAAATAAATTATATCCTAATAGTTAAACGACAACTATATTTTTAGTTGTTTATAATTATATGAAACATCGATAATTGTAAGAATAATAAAACGCCTAAAGAATTTAAGGGAGAAGCCGAAGCTGCGGATACTAATTCGTCGTAATAAACTTCACGCCCTCGATTACTACCAGACATCGTAGCGATCTTATCGGCATTAAGGACTAATAAGAGAACAAGTGCCCGACCCTAAGTATCTGCGGGGGTGCGGTATCTTTAAGCGCATTATCTCACCGACTGAGTAGGGCAAACGTGAGCCCTAACCCCCCATACAGCCAGATGCCTCTTGCACTATATGCAATTACTTACGTTCCATTGCTCCGTTCCTGTTGTACCCGCGGCGTCTGTTTTTTCCCGTTGTCCCCCAGGAATCGCGCTTTTTAGTGATGCTCCGTCGGCGGTTTTCGAATTACTTCAGACGGAAAGGGTTTCATGTATTTTGTGTACCTATAAGTACATTCTTCGGGGAATACGCTACGTGAAGTAATAGCACATGAGTATACCATAATTCCCGATTTTCGTATAAAAGACGCGAATTAAATCACAATATTGAATGAGTGGCCCCCTCGTTTCGAACGCGACGATTATTTTCAGTTCACTGCCTTTCGCAGTCCTTTTAACGACATACGGTGTCGCTGTTAGTGTTGATGCACATATTGTAACATGTGTATTGAGATGTACTGATATCGTTAAGTGGTCCATCATTCGTACAACATTTGATGAATTATTGAAAGAGGAAGGGACCAGCATTTTTAGCATATTGTTTGTTTGTTGCATAAAATGCAAATCGATGCACTAATGATCTATTGAAATACACGTATGCTTTTTAAGAAAATAGAAGGATAAATTTCGAATTAAAAATGTGGAAAATCGTGGGAACGCTCATTAGAGTCCGGCTTTTGTCTGCGAAAATCCGCCGGTTTCGGCGAAGTGTAGGAGTTCCTTACCATTTTGCAGCATCGCCAAGCGGAGCGGATATTGGTTTGAGCTCGATTTCACGAATCTGAGAATCAGCCGAGCGTTCCGGAACCGGCTTTCTTCTCTTATTGATTTTCTCCTGTTCATTCTCAACCCCGGTCGTTGTCAAAGTCCCCTGCCACCGTTCGAACGGCCTCCTTTTTACTCCTTCTTTACTTTTACCTTAAGTTTCGCTCTATCCGAAAGTTAAAGGTCGCTCCAAATCGCCGCCAACCCGCCGAATCATTCTTTCATCAGTCTAATAATTTACATTCCTTTCCAATTTTTTATACGTTTCCAATCCAACAATATTTATTAAACCCGATCCTTTAATAATCCACCTCCTATATAAGCATATCATCACTTATCCTTCAAATATATTTCCTTATTCTCCACATACAGCATGCAATTTTATTTGCATTAAAAATGTTAAAAGTCTAAACGGTTTTCTAATCGAAACCTCGACAAACACGGGACAGAATTTGTAAGTTACCATGAATAACAGCGTTCATTGTCTGAAAGTATAATAACTTACTCCCGGGGAAGCGATCCTCAAAGGGTATACGGTAAAAAAAGCCGCTTACTTAGATGGCAAACGATACGCTCGAGTAACGATCGAGGGTGTGGCGAAATCTTGGGGGGGCTTTGATCAAGTGCTGACTTCTAACTTTTCCCCAGACCGTGGAGCTTTGGGCGGTTAAAATTCGAAACGGAGTGTGTTATTAGGCCGCAATCCTAATGTCGCGAAATATTAAGCCGACGCCGGAAAATTGGATTAATATCAAGGGGAGATTGATAGATTTGCTATAGCTAGTAGAAGATTCTTACCGTTATTTCTGCATTAATTCGTTACAATGTAAGTAAATAAACTCGTTGATTGGCTTCTTTTGTGAGGTGGTAAATGTTTCCTTATCGCATCGATAAATAGATCAATGGATAATTAAAGCGTAGCCGATTTTCTGTTCTTGCTGTTTTCAACATCCATCAACTATAGATGGAATAACAGTAAATCCGCTTCTCGCGTAAATCGCCGATTAAAAAGAACGCGGAGTTAGTCCGGCTCTGCGTAGAAACCTTTTTCGATACACTCCCAAGAAAACAGGGTAAAGCGGAAAAAGAAGCAATTTTCTCTTCTTAATAACGAAAAGTTGGGAAAATGATGTCTGCCATGCAGATATAACCGCAAAAAGCGACCCAAACCAGTGACGGAACTTCGAAATTTTTATACCAATTAAAATAAAAACAACTCGTATAAATCAAACGTATCTAGAAAGTTAATTCTTGTAGTACTGATTAATTTTTATTAATGATAACATGAAGTTAAGGAGAATTGAAAAGTTTATGCAAAATAGGAAAATCGTCCCCACCACTGCAAAAAGTGAACAGTTGATCTCGCCTAAACTTGGAAAAACAGCATATATTTCTGAATCTCCGCCGTTCTAATTGCGATGACATAAAAACACCGCGCGCCAACCCATTGTTTGGAGTAGTCTTCCGCTGTTTCTACTCAGCATGGCGTCATGTCCGTTTCCGGGAAGGCCCCCCGCCCCCCCGCTGGTTCCGAGACCAGAATTTATCATTTCGCTTCATTGTACCAGCCAAGATGACATTAACCATTAGGAGTTTTGGCCGAAAAAAAAAACGCGGGGACGATAAATTTCGGGTTATATACAAGGTTAAGTGGTCGCCAATTTATATACGTGCGGCTTTTGTTTTCGTTTCATTCTTTCGGTTTTTGTTGTAGTGCGTCGATTCAAGAAAATTAGCCTCCATCGCGAATTAAGTATACAGTAAACAAATTAATTTGAATGATATTTAGCTATAAAAATTAATCTTGCAAATCTCATATCTACTCAGTAGATTGCATTAGTTTTATAACTCCTGTAATATCATGTACTCTTATTTTTTTTGGGGCGATAAACATTAAGGGTTAATTTATAAAATAGCATTCTCGATCGAGGCCGATAATCGAAGTGAACATAAAGAGCCACTCAACACAATCCATTTGAAACAATCGCGCAGAGCAATCATAGCCACCCCCTATATATTTATGCGCGTAGATAACATCGAGTAGGCCAGGCGTGCGAGGGGCCGATTTGACACATTTAATTTGACCGGTCGTCCCATAGGGGTTGTCCATTACAACGTATCACAGCGAGTAGTCTTCTACGTTGCTGATTAATAAAATAACAGATGTGATTCCGTTTAATCTCCATTGGGCGCGCTGCGATAATGTAATGAAATCGACGAGTGATTTTTGTGATGCACACTTGATTGTAATTTTTAATTCATTATTTGCAAGATAGCATCGTGTTTTGTTGGCAGGAATTTTTTTGTAGGTTTTAGTTCGAAAGCAGGTGTGATTCTGATGGGATAATTAGGCGCGATTGGTATACTAAATTTGTTATAGATAATTATAGTTTTAGTGGAAAATAAAAAAAACAGGAAACAATATAATTGTAGAAAAGGTTTGTTACCACACGCGATTGTTTCAATAGATATTAGATAAATCTCGCCTGAAACTTGAAACACATCATCATTCCTGGGATTTTTGGTAATGTCTCGCACGAGTTAACTTCTGTATAGTAACGTGCAAAAAAACTCACCTATTAATTGAAGATACACTAGGTACATTGTCTTGGGAACATATTCCCTCGGCCAGAAGCCTATCACGGATTTCCCAAGCGAACATCGTGGGATTTTCCCTTTTGTAATTCGCTATGGCGTCCACCACTGGCGGTGTCGCCACTTTTGGTTTTGAACCGCCGATCACGCCGGCTTTAAAGCTACCCGTTTCGTAATATCTGAAAAATAAAACAATTTCGATAAAAAAATACCCTAAAGTTCACTTTATTAAATAAATTTTATTCCCAAATCGGTTGCATAAGTTTTGTGCGCTCACTTAGATATCAATCATTTACGAAAGCTCTGTATAATATGGTGTAACGATTAATTAAACAAATTTAGACTTTCTTCGAATGCAGATACACCTACAAAAATACGGAGCCATAAATTATTTTTGCGTGAAAAACGCCGTCGAAGGGATTCCGCGATGTCACTAGAAATACACCTCAATGACTCCTATTATATTTTCTACATGTGTTAGCTCTTCGCATGTGTCGGCGTGTAAAAGCAAATTTACAATGCCGCCTTGATCTGACACATGCACTCTACAGGGTGGCCCAACTATAAAATAAACCAAAACTTGCTTTCCAAAATTATTTATCAAACTATGTAATTAAGAACAATCAATAACAAATAATATTCCAATTATTGAGCGCTCTTCTTCCCTAAATTATATGTAAACACTGGATGTATGTATTATAAATATAACGTTAGTATTCTTGTTTGAGACTCCTTATACCTAAACAAGAAGTCATTGTTGCACTACATACAAATTGCAACATCTACTAATTAGCTCGTTTTAGTATTTTCGGCGAATGAATTAGTCGGTTTTCTGGATGAATAAATTGCTCGCAAATGTTTGGATGTTTTATGTACTTGCTGGAACTCAGTCGTTATTTGTTAACCATATTTTTCCCAGTATAAAATTTTATAACAAAGTATAGATAGAAATTTTAACGATTTTAGCGGATTTTAGCTTTAATCTCTTTAATGGCATTAATCGTCGTTGTGATTTAATAATATTGTATTCCGCATTCGCAGATAACGCACGATCGAAATTCGATCAAAAATCGTCGAACCGGCGGGTCGTAATTAATAAATGATGCAATTTAATTAGAGGTAATATTCATCCGCGGGGTGGCTAATGTAAAATAGATTTCCATCATGCCGAACCCACCATATAACTGAATCAAATTTCGCCTGTAATTCAGTTACTGCATATTAGCTGAAATGATGTCATAAAGGGGTCTGCACAATCTCCGGGGAAGCTGCCGAAATATTTTCGTAGGGATGCATTAGACCGATCGTATTTCTGTTGACAATAAACAGCGTTATTTTTCCACCGAATCCAATCATTATTAAGTAACTTAGAATTTTTTTGTTTCGCCAAATCGTTATACGAAATGCGTGATTAACTTAAAATTGAAATGAAACTTCAGCAGGGTCCTTTTTGTGTTCGCCGAACGAAATTTAAGGAGCATTTCTTTCAATTTTCTCGTCCCCCGTTTCCTCTTTCTTCGCAATGATTTCATTTCGCGTTACAGAAACCGACTTTATCCACCCCTGTTGCCGGTTTTCCTCATCCGGCAACACTCAGCAGGAACGGCTAACGCGATCATGCGACCTGCTGGTAATGTTTTCCCGTTTTTTTAGAGCCCGTTTCCCAAAAAAGATGAACTTTATTTTATACGACCGAGGACCGCATGGGGGGACCCAGCATTTATCATCTCTAGTTGTTACGTCGCTATACGGCAAAAAACGAACGTATGTCCACTATTGTTTGAGATGTTTTATGGGTGTTGTATGGGTAAAGTTGATATTTTGTATATGGGATGGGTTGTGCTCGAGAGAAAATTGCGCCATGTTTATGTTTATGGATTATCGTGACACTCGATATTTTCTATGGAAAGAAAAATGAAAACGTAGGTATGTTTACTATTTTCATTATTTTCCTGACAATTATCCCAATTAAAATTAATTATCTTAAGTAGTTTTTTATTCAAATAAGATGAAGAAACTTGTAATTTATTGCATACCTATACTTATTCGTAATGTTTTGATTATTTATAATTAATTCCCACCGTTATCAACATAAACATCCATTAAATTAATAAACAAAGTGTGGCTAAAGGCAAACAGAATTTCCTCAAATATAGTAATATTATTGTTATTTTTCAAAAGTAATGGACATTAAAGAGATTAATTTGGTTATTAGGCGACAACGACAGAACCGCAAACACGACTCGAAAGGGCATTTTAATAAATTAATTCGATAAAATGTATTAGATGAATAGTTTGGAAATTCAATAGGAAAATACGGTACGGTGACACGTGTCTTCAAAAAATTACATGACAACTGCATTAAGCCGCCGCGTCGTTCAAACTCCTACAATAGACCAACTATTTTCACGTCGATGTGCTGCGGTCGTATTTCTTTCAGAAAATGTATAAGGGTTTTTTGAGCGTATTGGGGTTCCCTCGGACGAAAAATCTTCGGAAAACTCCCATTTTTCTAATCCACTGTTATTTGATAATAACGCAAAATTTACGTACCTCGAAAGAATTTTGGACACGCACCCGTGCGACACCCTCAGTTGCCTGGATATATCACAGGGCCGGACTCCGTTATGGGCTAATTCCACTATCCTTTGCCTAACAACGTCCGGCAAAGGCCTACCGTTCACAAAGACTCCACCCAGTTGGTTAACGCCTCCATGGCCTGCAATCAAATATGTAGACAATTGAAATATTTTTCATAGACGTGCAATAAATGAAATAAAAACAACTTTTATGAATGCATCATCATTGTAGATTATTGAAATAATTTATATCAACATTTCGAATTATTTTAGAACCTTCTTCAGAGGTTTTCTCAAAGAAAATCCTTGACATAGTTATCGTTGTTTATAAAATAATATCGACGTATAGTACAATTAGTCAGTTTTAAAACAATTTCCAGTTAATCAAGTAACATTCTGTTATAGTAAATTAAATTTGAATATCGTTCCGCCTATGGATATTTCCATAAATCAAAATTACATAACAACGTGCAATATCGCCGGGTTCGGGTTCGATGTATAGAAGTGAAAATCATAACCTTTGATATACTAGTTTGAGTTATGTACAGGGTTTGGCGGATATATGACCACTATAGCCAAAGGATATTGTTTATTTTTCTTTATCTGTGACGTAAGTGATGTCATAGAGTATTCAACTCGGATAGGTTGGTTGGTTGGAGGAATGCGCTTTAATTGTTCCACTGCGAATTTTATTAGCGCGAGGTGATTTAGATGCGAAGAAATGCGGTTGTGCAGAAGAAAAATCGAAGTAAATGAAACTCTCCATGTTACATTTCGCGTCCATCGGAAGTGCATTCGTTTCGAGCGTCCCTTATTGTCGACCGCGAATAATTCCAGTCGCGTGACAGCCACGCGACCTATAACTCAGAACTGCTTCCCTTTTTTTTAAAGTAGTGTCATCGCAATTTCGACATCACCCCCCAGAATGGAAATTAACATTAATATTGCTGCATAAAATTCAGATCAAAACCGAAAGTCAATTAACGCAATCCCGATCCTAATGAATTATAAAAATTCCTATCTAAAGGACGAGTAACAAAGTTCTCGCATGAGTCTGCAAAACGTTGCGACCCGATGATAAATCGTTGACCCTTTCGTATAACTTTACCCTACACGGATTCGCTAGTAAAGCGAAAGACTGACTACCATTAGCAAACCGTATTTTGGTTTATCTTCATTAATACACCATCCAGATTTACCACAGGATATGTTCGTTTTGTTGCCGAAATCCTCCGTTTCGAAATGGGTCTGCGGCAGGCTGTTTTACCAAACGATAGATGTGAATGCTAAATGTACAGGTTCGCGTCCATTCAATTTCAGGTCGACCCTTAATTAAATAATATAGGCTAATTGCTTGTTGTGATACAAACATTTGCTGTTTGTGGACATCATGAAAAAGACTAATTCAAAATATAAAAATAGAAAATCGCTATTTTTTGAAGATGATAGTGAGCTTTATACTATAAAATATAAAATAATTCAACAGCTTTACTGATGGGAATTCAAAAGTAGATATTGGCTAATTGTTGCGATGCTTTTTTACAAAAATAATAATTGTAAAAAACATAAAATCGCTCATTCTTGAAAATGATAATGAGGTTTATGTAATAAAATATTTGATATGGCTACCTACAGGAAACTGTAATCTGAGCACTTTAAATATTCGTAATTTATTGACGTTAGATCACCCTTTAATTACATTCCATGCAATTAAACTGTTAATGATAATGAAAGAATGACAAATAATTAAGACGATAATAAAGCCGGCCGATTTAATTGGTGCTTTATAATTATGTAATATCGGAGCAATTTATAACTTCGATCAGAAACTGTCCATTTGCTTCATCTTTTTATTATTCTAAAATTTACCCGAACTAAAAGTACTTTTATAAAAAAATGTTGCATTAGGTGCAAGTGTAATGATAAAAGTACAGCATCTTAATATGAATAAAGTAGAGAAAAATAAGATAGTAATCAGCCTCATTTTCTCTTCGCAGCTTCCGTTAGTTGTGACCTGTATTTGCGCTCTCCACAAAACGTGTTGCGGTGGCGAGTGCCATTATTTCTTTTGTAATATTTTATTTCTATTTCTATTGCGACTGTGGCCGTAATATAAAATATTACCGAGCTCTAAATGTTCGCCGTTATACTATGTACCAATTCCGGCCGCAAATATGCAACACTATGTATGTTACGGTTGATTACTGTATGCGATTTGCATGCACCGGCTCGCATAGTGTAACGTTTGCTAGAAATTCGACAACTGGCCACTCCGGCTATCGTTAATCCCGTTGTATATTGGTATCTAATTCCGATCTAATTCTAAAGCTCCCGACAAGTGTTCGGCCGCCCTTCGAGAGAATAGGTAATCGGATAAGCAGATAAGCATCATAACATGTGTCTGTCGAGTGTTTTAGGGCGTTCCGTTGACACTGATAACGATGAATTAGATGAAAACCCTTCGTCGGAGAACTTCAACACTTATTCAACAATTACCCTAATATCGCTGATTGAAATTGACGTTTATAGTGCGGGGATAGAATATCACGTACGATATACACTGCTTGTGTTGCTCTATCTGTATTGGGATGATAAAATTACTGATATACTCGCATTGGGTTTGTTATAAAAGCAATTATTATATACATGACGTTCCTGTAGAATGTAGGGTCAACAATAGGCAACAATTTGAATATATGATTGTAAATTGTAAGAAGTTATTTTCGAAAAAAAATCTTTTATGTCTATAAAATAGGGGCCATTCGAAAATCTCGACTTCGGGGCTTCCTTATCGAGTGCAGAGCATCTTTGCTGCGAAAAGCGTAAAATGTAACCACCTGCGCCGAAATCTTTTGTAGAATAATCGAGGTTCCGAATAATATAGTTAGCTCTATTGTAAATCGTTAGCAGTCAATGATTCATCCATTGTTCCATAAAGACTTTTGTATTTTGTGTATGCGACGTTTCAAAGCGGACTGTTGACCCATAGAACAGACGAATAGAAAATTCACAGGCCCATGCCAAAATAATTCATTCGTTTCGGGTCAAAAATTTCGAATAAGGAAATCGCAATTTCGGGCGATACATGTGAGTAGGCACAGATTTCATTCACGAAACTATTTAATCTTCCAACTAATCCATACGGAATGATAAAATAACAGCACTAGTATTTCTTTCCTTTATACACCTATCTACAAGAATAGGATCATGTTAGGTAGATATATCTTTAGTTTGTTTCCAGCATTTTCATCTCCTTGTTCTTATCGTTTCGCATATCTGCGACTAAAACCGCGTTCATCGATACGCTATTAGCTATAAATCAGAATTAAGTTTCGAACAATCAATTACGGACTTACACTAATTACCGGCGGCTATAAAACTGATTTATGAGTTCACAATTGAATACAACGCTGATTTTGTCATAAATTATTATTTGCCTGCATTTTTCATACATAAATCGGAATCCACCACTCGACTTCATTCGCTTCCATTACAATGTACTTTCCGATGCAATCGATGCCATCCGAATTATTCTGTCTCATTGGCGTACAAACCGGAAAAAAATCATGCAGAAGGATTGATTTCGTCTATTTAAAAAGTGAAAATTGTTTATATTGGATAGGTAATTTGCATTATGTTTTATGAATGTAATAGTTGGGGATAATAGGAGTATTTTTGTGGATTATTAGGAAATGAAGTACGCCCATCTTTGGAAAATTTGCATTTTATACAAAATTGTTAAAACGCGCATAAAATTGCAGCTCAATTATCCCGTCAAATAAATATCGGACGCATTATTATATAACTCAAATTTATTCGTTCAATTCAATTATAGTGCTATTGAACGCAATTTGTAATAAACCATAATAAAACAACTTTTTCAGTGCGCTTTTGAATTAATTGAATTTCATTTGCAATTTTATCCCATTTCTGTCACTTTGTGTAAATCACAACGCGGACGATTCCTATTTAATTTAGCATCAGAAAAACGGATGTTTTCTTGTCGTTCGCCGTTTGAAAATTGAATTAATTTCTAATTCATTGCGTTTCCATTAAAAAAAGCTCTATTACTTCTAATAATTAATACTACCTACTACTAAACGATTTAATCATTAGGTAGAAATATTAAATATGATGTTGTTTAAGCATAAAGATGAAGAACAAAAAAATGAAAATCTTACAAGTGTAGTATTCCATCATGTTTTGATTATATCGATAAGCCGTGGACAAATCCATGGCCGTCCCGGTCGCTCTGAGGGACAATAGAGAAGTCAAACTTGCAGTATCCAGTTTGAACAATGTGCTTTCTACCACTTTACAACTTCACCACTATGGAAATCATAGTTCCGTGGGTTTCATCCGGGCCGAACGACACGAATAAGCACTAAACGGCGTACCGGCGATCCGCGAACTGAGGTCGAATTTTCCAGGTGAAAAATCAAAAACGCAAATGAAATTGTTAACCAGCGAAAACGGCCGGACGTTGAGATTTTTCGTCGCCCGTCGGGTGAGGGTTAGGTCTGCAGCCGCGAGCACGTTACAAACAGGACTAGTGAGTCAGATAAGCGGATCCTGTCAGATTGGAGGCGGAGTCAGGATTGTCACAGCGGTTTGGAAGCTAACTTTGGATGTGATGGACTACTAGGATATACCTATAGGGTGGGTAAACGCGAAAGGTGTCTCGTTTACCCTGCTTTGGCGTATCTATCATAGGGTGAGCGGAACTTCTTGACGTGCATGCTCCTCGATCGTAATCGCCGGCATTGTTTGGTGATCGGGTGAGCATAAAATTGAATCAAAATACGCCGTTATGCACACAAAAAAAGGCCGTAATTGCGATGAGCTTCGATAGTTCCCTATTATAAACTAAATATCCGTTAATTTGTGCAGCTACTTAGCAGGAAATCTACCAAATAGTCATATCAATTTAATCAAGAAATTATTTACCTACTATTTGATATTTTTAACCGGTTCTTTAGATGTCTCAATTATTCAACTGTCAAATATAACAACCCTTAATTATGTAGTTAACAATAAACCACTAATTCATAAAAAATTAAAGGATATATTGACTCCAAAATTAATTAATTCCAAACGCTAAAAGTATGTGTGGAAAGTTCTAACAACTCCATCAACAAAT